TCAACTGGAGGATGAATGTTGGCATATGTTGGATTGTATGGAGACACTTATGGGATTACAGGCTGGATATGTTGTGTGTATGCAAAAAAATACAGAAATGAGTGGAAATATTGGATCTAAAAATGCGTATAATTGTTTTTCGCTTTTCTAGGAAATTTGTGAAAATCCCCAGTTCATTGTTGGAGGAGCCAGCAGGACTGACATCTGTCAAGGAGATCTGGGCAAGTCTTTGATATTTCGCATTCACTGCTTCAGGGTGGTTTTAGTTTTAGTTTAGCAATAGCACAATGTTTTTTCTCATGTTAATGTCTCAAGAGTTCAAAATAAATCCGATTTTTTGTTTATGTTGACATTATGAGATAATATTTGGTGCTGTACTAAATATACCCATCATTTCTGTATAGTCTATGGTTTGTTAGCTCTGGCAGGTGGTGGTTGACAGTACAGCTGAATATTCCATACTTCTCTCTTGGTCACATGCTTTTGAGCGGCTGAGGCCTCCTACATTGTGCGTAGACTATGGGAAGGGAATCCAACAGCAGCACTTCTCATTGTTGTTCCGAACCAGCCCCAAATAAAAGGAACTGTTCAGTGTTGGGAAAAAAACATTGTTTCAGTCACATGTACAATAGGTCTGAATGTAATGAGCGAGTGAATGAATGGTGAAGGTCGGAGGCTTCGATGTGCTAGTGTGTTCAGCGTCTCGCTTGTCATCACCGTGTGGATGTAATGCTCCACACAATGTATCTGTATTCCATAACACTGTAGCGCACTTTGTGTGACCTTGATTGGTGAACTCTGCTATATTAATTAAGATTATTAACTTGGCTTGGATTGACATAGACAAAAGTTGTATTAACCTAAATACCTAAATAAACACATTATAAGCACATTATCATAAAGCTCTCCTCGTACATTTCCCAGAGTTTCCATGTTTCACAACTATGACATTAATCTATGAGTAGCTGGGCTAAACTGTCATTTCTCTAAATTGTATTTAAGCGGTTAAGATACCAGTATCATCATCAAACTTAATTACAGACTCATGGTCCAGGATACATTACAAATATATATATATATAACAGCTGTACCAATGTCACACTTCAGACTGGTATCATGTGGCCCTGAATTTGTCATGTACAGTATTTATTTACAAATAGCCATGCGAATGGGTTCTATGTGTTTACTTTGTTACACATGAGCACAGAACAGTTTGAATATGAGGCACAGACACAAGAAAATGAAATATAAAAAAAGACACATTCAATGCTTGACCTTGTTACCAATGATGGCTAAATAGCTGCTGGTTGTGTCCCTGCTACAATTTTCTATTGTGTCATTGGGCAACACACTCCATCCACATTGCTTCCAAGGGGTGAAATGTCAATATTCTTGTGACACAGGTGACTGCTGGCTGTTGGCTGCTATTGCTTGTCTGACCCTAAATGAGAAACTCCTGTTTCGTGTTGTTCCCCATGAGCAAAGTTACACAGAGAGCTATGCTGGAATCTTCCACTTCCAGGTTAGACTTTTAACAGATTCCTTTAAAAAAATTAATGATTTAAATAACAGTTTGAAGAAAGATCCTGCTGTTCTCATTTCTCCTGTAGTTTTGGCGCTATGGCGACTGGGTGGATGTAGTCATTGACGACCGCATCCCAACCGTCAACAACCAGCTGGTCTTCACCAAATCTGCCGAGAGGAATGAGTTCTGGAGCGCCCTGCTGGAGAAGGCCTACGCCAAGTCAGTTCCACCACTGATTTTCCTTTTTTCAATCGACTACTCACTCGTACCATTACATTTGATGACACCCCCCCCCCCCCCCCAATTATTCATTCCCTGATTGTGAAACAAAGTAAATCATTCAAACAAAGCATTAGACGTGGATTGACTGAAGAAGGTCTACATCATGACAATATTTGAGGTTATGTCAGCAGAATTTTTCAATATTTGCTGTAAAATACTTTTGGTCATTCAAGCTATGTATGGCTTAGTGGCTGCAAGACCTGACCTAAAGAATGGAGTCTGGTGTGCTCCTGCTTGGTTGGAATGATCACCTGCAGCCTCACTGCCCTTTATGGTTGAGTTTGACACCGGGGATAATCCCTGTTTGGCCTCTGTCCAGGCTCCATGGGTCCTACGAGGCTCTGAAGGGCGGGAACACCACTGAAGCCATGGAGGACTTCACTGGAGGAGTCACTGAGTTTTATGAAATGAAGGAAGCCCCAAAAGAGCTGTACAAGATCATGAAGAAGGCTTTGGACCGCGGCTCTCTAATGGGCTGTTCCATTGATGTGAGGCTCAATCTTCCCTTTAGTTGTTTTTTGTTATTTGAAATGTATTCATCTATGTCATTGATTATTTCTATGCCAGTCCCTTGTTCCAGCCCGATTTGAAACCCGTACTGTAACTGGGCTGGTGAAGGGTCACGCCTATTCAGTCACAGCTGTTGAGGAGGTAAGTGGTTTAATGGAGCATAATTGATTCAATAAATACAAATAAATAAATAAACACACAGCAACAAATTGGGATGAGCACAAAACTAAAATTATCATATTTGAGTAATTCATGTTGTTTACAGTGTAAATCATCCCAGAATAAAGAGTCGAAAATCCGTCTGGTGAGACTCAGAAATCCCTGGGGTCAAGTCGAGTGGAATGGACCCTGGAGTGACAAGTACAAGAAACACAAATCCATTATCAATGTGGAATTTATCAATTACAGCTATTTACACTGTCATTCTCAGCTCTAAGGAATGGGCCACATTGCCAAAGGCTGAAAAGGAGAAGCTTCAACACCAAAGCGCAGAGGATGGAGAGTTCTGGTGAGTTACAAATTACATCTTAAAAACTAATTGTTATCATCATTGATTGTCTCCATCATGGATTGTCTTTTTCTGTGGCTTCAGGATGTCTTTTGATGACTTTAAGAAGAACTACACAAAGATTGAGATCTGTAACTTGACTCCTGACGCTCTTGAAGACGATAAAATCCACAAATGGACTGTGTCAGTGAATGAGGGCCGCTGGGTGAGAGGCTGCTCAGCCGGAGGCTGCAGGAACTACCCAGGTACCACTGCTCACACGTGCATGGATAAGCTTTTCAAAAAGCTACTGACTTAGTTACGTTTTTATGTAGATTTATAGTTTTCATGAATGATCTATGTAGACATGAGAAACTCATGCAAGCATCATTTACATGATAGTATTGTCTAATTAGTACTGAATTACTGAATATTGAGCAAGATTTTCTGAGTTTCCATGCATGTTTAGGGAAAGTTAAAAGTTCAGAAAAATAAAATAATGAAAGAATGTTTGGAACAAACATATGGAACAAATTATTTCCAACTGTGCGGAAATGCAGACGTTAATGTCGGCCCATTATTCTTCTGTTGCATGTCTAGTTCCTCTTTAACCATAGAGAAAAAAATCACTTTTACTTAGACAAAAATGATTTTCACAGACACGTTCTGGACAAACCCTCAGTATCGCCTGCGGCTCCTGGAGGAGGATGACGACTCTGAGGAGGGGGAGGTCGGCTGCACGTTTGTGGTTTCACTGATGCAGAAGAACAGAAGGAAAGAGCGCAAACTGGGAGCAAACCTGTTCACGATCGGCTACTCCATCTACGAGGTGAGATCATTATGTCTGTTACAGAGAACTGACAAAGTGCTTAAAACAATCAGTATTATACAGGGAGAAAATTAGACAGAAGTTCAAAAGGCTCAACAGCTATAAAACCTGGCAGTCTGCTAACTTAATGAAAACACTTTTTCTAAGTCGCCACATATGCATGGATTATACATAAGGCTTTTACTTTCAATAGTGGACGCCAGGAAGATCAGATGAAGGTCTGATTTAAAAGGGTGTTAAAATGTGTTACATTTAATTTAAGGATATTTTGTAAATTAATATTAGTTTTCAAACATTTGAAAAGAGAAGCCATTGGTTTTACAAGTATATTACAAAGCAGGAGTATACAGAAATTAAAGTTATTGCATTATTGTAGATTTAGTCCTCATTCATTAATCGCCATCTTTATTCCTTAATGATTTGAAAGATCTGCAGCTGATGTATTGTCCACAAAACTAAAAGCTGTTCAGAAATTAAATGATTGATTCAGGTTCTGAAATGGTTGTGTATATATATATCACATTGACTATTTTCTTTTTTGAATTCTCCACAGGTGCCAAAGGAGGTAAGCCACTGCCCACTGAGCTTCCAGGGGTTACATTGCACTGTTTTCATTATATTTGGCAAAGGACTCTTCAAATAACTCTTGTACGGGGTTTCAGATGCACGGTAACAAGCAGCACATGCAGAAGGACTTTTTCCTCTTGAACCAGTCCAAGGCTCGCTGTAAATCCTTCATAAACCTGAGAGAGGTGACGCAGCGCTTCCGCCTCAGTCCCGGTGAATATGTGCTCGTGCCATCGACCTACGAGCCGCATCAGGAGGGAGAGTTCATCCTCCGGGTGTTCTCTGAAAAGAGAAATACTTCAGAGTGAGTTCTTGTAGGGAGTATCTCTTCAGTTGTTTATATTTGACTGAAGAAAATGGTTTGGGTTAGTATTTAAATCCATAATGTGATGTTGTAAAAGGTAGGGGGCAGTATTTTCTTTTCAGGAAATAGAAGGAAAATGTACCTCAGCGTTCTGCAGCTTGACCATTTCCCTGCCAAGACTCTTATTCAATTAAGGAATAGCAGTGGCTTAATAACCAAAGAACCAAAGGCACCTAAGTAGTCAATTGTTAAGAATATAACAACATAAAAACACCAGGACTATGGAGTGTAATAAACCATGCATTTTTAGGCCCAAAAAGAGTTTAAGTTTAGTTTAAGTTTTTTTTAAGAAAAGGCCCTTGAGATGAATCATCTCCTTTTCAAGGGGTCCGAAACATATAACTATAAACATACATACAAACATTCCTACACACATAACAATTTACAGAGCAGGATAAGAAAATGTAATTAGATAAACACACAAAAAATACATAATAATAATTTCTTTAAATGACAAATTCTCCTTTGCATCCCACTCCCCACTAAAAAAATTTGCTTTTCTATGTGTGTGAATGGAACCAACGTGAATAGGAGCTAAACTTTGCCCATGGGTACTTCCCCATTATGCTTCATAGAGCTAGCAGGGGACCATCCCTATATACTGTTAATGGAGCTGATGAGATGGTGCAAGGGCAGCACTGATTCATCTACGTTTGTGAAAATGCTGTCTATATTTTATTTTTGGTCCCTCCATGTGTATTTAAATATGTCGGGGAAATAGATCAACTAAAATCCTTGGCAGGGAAAGGGTTAATATGAGTTGAATTTTCTTTGTCTAGTCTACCTTTTTATTATTATTATTTTTGTTTTTGAAACTTTTGGGACTAACGAAACATAATTTGTTTATGTGGGTTGGGGGACAATCTTCGTCTGGGGGACACTTGCACTTCCAAAAACAGACATATTTAACGAAGATTTGATTTGTAGAATTGGACGAACTCGGGCCCAGTTCGAAGCTGTTATGGAATCTTTTTTAGGACAAGACACTTCCGATTTGGTCGTTCAGCGGTAACTTTCATACAGCACTCGGGACCCAGGACCCGGGTCTCTGAGGAGGGTGGTTGTCCAAGAACTCAGATGGAACTTGTTCTTACATATTCTCTTTGCACTCGCTTCTGATTAGCTTTAACGTTAGCTGCCATGCATTAGAATAGCAGTATAAATGTAATGTTATGATATTGGTGACCACTGTTTGTCCATCTTCATTCAGGGAGATTGAGAACAGGATCGAAGCGGACCATCCCGTGGTAAGTGTTATCTAAGATGTAGTTCATGTTTCCAAGAGAACGCTATGTAAAACCAGAACCATCCTGGCCAAACACATCACAATCACGAATTGATATGAAAAGTATTGGGTTCTTCTATACGAGACAATACAAGGTTTTGTGATGTTATTACCTTGACACATTTCGACGGATTATTATCTTATATTGTCTGGTATGTATAGAAGAACCAAATTCTTTTAATTCTACAAAGAAGACCTAACCCTAAACCACAAATTAATTTGTCTGTTCATATTCAAGCCACATGTTTAACTAATGTTCTTAAATGACTAGAACTGTGTTTGTATGATCACAGCCTGCTCCATCCTCAGTGGGGGAAGAGAGTGAAGAGGACCAGCAGTTCAGGTCTATTTTTCAAGAAATAGCCGGTGAAGTAAGTGTGGTGATGGATCTTGAGGCCTGCACGAAATACTGTCTTTTCTACACAAAAACTGACATCAGAAATAGTCTCATGAGTTGTTTATAGAATTGAAATCATGCAGATCTTTCCTTTCCTCTTCACACAGGAGATGGAAATAACGGCCAATGAACTGCAAAATGTCCTCAACAGAGTGATCACCAAAAGTAAGACTTCTTTTGAAGGTGTTAAGCGGCTAAAAATATTTATGTTATTATCAGGATAATACAATAAATAGATACATTATTATTTGTTTAACTACTGTTTGATTGTGTCTCTTTTATGTTTCTAGACAAGGACATAAACACTGAGGGCTTCAGTCTGGAGAGCTGCAGGAGCATGATAGCTCTTATGGACGTATCCTTTGTCCGGAGGTTTTTGGGAATTATTTTATTATTAGGAATCACCACACTGAAAGCAGGGTCCAATTCAGAGATGATGGAAAATAAAACGCTTTTGATATAATGGCAAATAGATGTAGCTATTAATATTTCGAAACAGCAGTGAGATACAAGGCCAAGAAGACATAACCTTTCTTTTCTCAAGTAGATTTTGTTTGTATGTGAATACTAACTAGTATTTTGCAAAACAGGTTCTGACCAGCTCACCAGCTCTTTTATGTTGATGTTCATTCAAGATTTATTGGTTTTGATTATTCGTGAGTAGTTTTGTTATTCTCTCAACTATATCTCAGATGGACGGGACAGGCCGACTGAACCTCCAGGAGTTCAGGCATCTGTGGAATAAGATCAAGCAGTGGCAGGTGGGATTCCACAAATCAGAAATCCATCCTTGGTCTTCCCTCGGAGTAGACTTGAAGTCTTTTAAGCTAGGGTTATAGCTTTGTCTCATATAGATAGATATATAGAATAACAACTTAGTACTATTCAATACTCACTAGTTTTCTTTTGTAGGGAATCTTTAAGCACTATAATGCTGAACAGTCTGGAAGCATCAACAGTTATGAGATGAGGAACGCTGTCAACGATGCAGGTACAGACCAAAGTAAAAATCATTTATGTTTATTCATATTTTGGATTATACTTTGTTAGCTTCGATGATACTTTGACCAATGCCATAATTACTCAGCCCATTGCAATCCAATGTATCCTATTGCTCAATAGGTGATGTAGTATGTTTGTGTCTTGTCTTGTTGTATAACGCTGAAGGTTAGTAACTTAAAGGCCCTGTACCCAACTTTTTGTCTTAAAATGTATTAAAAATGGTTTGCAACGGTCAATTCTTTACTTCTCACATTTTAAACTAATTATTAAGTGATTCAAAAGATCATTCATCTCTACAGTGAATTTAAAGAGATTGTTGAGATAGCACTTTAGCTACACACGTCCTGTTCCACTCTGAACAAAGCTAATATTTAAATAAAAAAAATATCTCTTTATGACCTCAAACCTAACAAGTTACTGGGGGGAATGGGGTACAAGGCCTTTATGGAGTGTTTTAGTTCATATGTAAGAGCCACAAATAATGTTGTGTATTTTTCATCTCACCAATATTATTCTAAACATATCCTCTAAATGTTGTACCAAATGTTGTGGTCAATGTGCAGTCACGAGTCTTGTGTCCCTCCCAGGCTTCCGTCTCAATAACCAGCTGTATCACCTCATCACCATGCGCTATGCTAATGAGAGCATGAACATCGACTTTGACAGCTTCATCAGCTGCCTGGTCCGACTGGAAGCCATGTTCAGTAAGTCCACTTCACAGCAAATGAAGGTTTATAGTGACTTTCATTTATTAAACAGAGTGCTCTGTCATCTCATCAGATGTAGATGTATTTCTATGACCCTGGTTGTTTATAAAAAATATATATATCTTGAATTCATTTGAAAGGATTTAATTGCATTATCTTTTTAATTCCAAGACTAGTGTCATTGGTTCGTGTACACAGTCCAAACACATTGGAAATCTTCGGCAGGGCTTCCAAAGACTCAAGTTAACAAAGAGATAAAAGTAAAGACAATTAGAAAAGTAAAACACAACAGAAGTGAGCATTTTAATGTTTGTATTGTATATGATTGTGTAAAATCACCAAACAACAAAGTAATTTCCTGCAGAACAGTGGCTGGAAAATCATGAATAAACTATTTTGCATTCAGTTTAGCCTCAACTTGCAGCACTACTGAATATTTAAAATAAACACTGGTATTTGTCTCACTGCTGCGGTAGAGAAACTGTAATAGACAAAAATAAAAGTTCGAGTTCACACTTATGATTAGATTTATGTGGAAAGAGTCTTCTGGTTCTTGTTGCGTCTTAGTTGCTGTGTGGTGTTTTTCTTCTCAGGGGCGTTCCAGGCCTTCGATCAGGACGGAGATGGAACCATCAGACTTAGTGTCCTGGAGGTGAGACTTTCTTTTTACCTTTTAGTTTGCTCTGGGCCTGATATCTGAATATCTGGCCATAAAAGAGACCTTGTCAATCATAAACTTTTGATAGTGAGCCCCAAAGTGGATAGCACCGTGATCTATGAATATTGAATAATTATAGTAATTATAGCGACAGCCGGACGAAGCAGTCCTCTTTCCACTTACAACTTACATTGTGCCAAATTTACCTTGGAATATGTTATCAATTGCTCGATATGAAATATGTGTTGTCTGATTTGTGGTCCTATGTATAATAGATGTTTGGAATAGCAATGAATTCACAAAGTTTTAGCCCTGAATGGCCATTTAAACTCTCCTGTTCATATCTATATTCATATCTATACAGTAAATGGAGAAAGAATGGTTTTATTGTATTTAAGTTTAGTTGATTAACGCAGCCTCAATTCTGTAAAATAGTGATGGTATCTTCCTCTATTCCAGTGGCTCCAGTTGACCATGTACGCCTGAAGAGACCACCCCACTCCGGACATGGTTATACCTCATTCATTTTGTTCCCACCACTTCTGCTCCATCACAGCTCTTCAGTTCTCCAGCCTGTTGTAACCACGTCTCAACCACAGCCGTTGTACGACTTTAATTCTCAGGCATCTGAAACAGAACAACCTCTTTATCTCTGTCACAATACCTCACACAGCCTTCTGAGTTGTCAACAACTGTATACCTCCATCTGTCAAACACACTGAGAAGTAATTGTGCATGGAGTGAGCTGGGATCTCTGATGGACAACCAATAAAGTTTTGGATAAACATCTTTTTATTTTTTACTCTATTGACCAATCATTAACCCTCTTTCATGCCTGAAGGTGTACAATATAAAGGTATGTGAAAAATGTATTGAAAAGGTTTTTGGATTGATCTTAATGGATCGCGCAAAAGGCTTCTTGGACAGAGCAATTTGGTTACCCACTAACAATGAGAAATGTCCTCCTCATTAAGTAAGTTGGGGTCAAGTATTTAATTATTTAAGCTTTACTGAAAACCAGTTTCCCTGTATTTTACTGCTGGCCCTGAAGGAACTCCAAATTGACTCCCAGCTATGGACAAATATCAAGAGGGCATAGTTGGCGTTTTCAAGTTTGATCTGAAATTATGGATTTTATGAAAATGGCTACCAAGTTGGACGGTGGTTTTGTGATTTCTTTTTAATGAAGGCTTTGGTCAAATTAGTGTATGGATTTTTATTATTACATTTCAAATAAATGTATAATATTGGCCTGACTGTGTTGAATATTCACTTTTGTTTGATTGCTTATCGATGATCAGATAAATTGAAACAAGTTTCCAGCGTTTCTGTTTCAGACAAGCTGACATGCACTGAATAGTAAAAACAACACGTTTTTGTATTGAAATATTTTAATGTCTTTTCCATTGCACATCTCATTAAAAAAAAGCGGTTTACATCTTTTATAACAGTATAACGCTTTGAAGAAACTCAGGAATACCAGGTCAGTTGTGGATCGAATGCTTTCCACTGTCTTAAAACAATGATAAAATTTGTAAAATGTTTTTTGTAACCACAAATCCAAAATGTCCTCAAATAAGAAGAAATCGAAGACGGTAGAGCCAAAATTTCAGAATGAGCACCAGGCAGTTAAAATTGTTATGAAGAGGGAAAATGTGTTATGTTTTAGTTGGTGAGGTGTGGCATGGGTCATGCACCAATCAAGCAAAACACAAGGGCTTTCAAACAAACATGTCAGAACAATTGGGATAAGTGTAGTCTTTCCTTTTGACAGGGAACTTTCCACAATGCTCTGACTATTCTAACGCAAACAATGGATAGCAATAGCTCAAGCCTTGCCATTGTCACTGCTTGTAACAGCAAAACATGTGAATATACAGTTAGTATAAGCCTGGTTATGCCTGATAGGTGTCTCCAAAATCTTTCCTTCATGCTTTTTATCTTTCAAAATCACCTCCCCAAATGCCTTTTGAGAAAACTATCAGGTGCCTTCCACTCAATTCAAAAATAAAACATAACACATACATATCTCCAAGCAGGGAAGTATTGTGACAAACAACTCTCACACTGGGATTGAAAAAAGTGAAACTCAAACTCACATTCATGTCTTGGATCAGATTCACAGCAAAATGCAGCCAAAAAAGAAAAAAAAAACCTTTCCAAATGTGGCAAACTCTGGCCACTTCAATGACTTAACACTGCACTAATGTCCCTCAATGCCTTTAAACCGATGAGCAACAACACATTATAGAAACGTCAACAGGAAACAAGTTTAAAAAAAACAAATCCAAAATGCAATGAATTTTAATAAGGAAAACAAAAGTTGGGTAGTCTTCCGAACACATCAGGAATCATTTTGATTTCCATAGTTTCAGAGTAGACTTCCCCGATGCAAAATATGAAACGTGTGAAAGTAAATGATTAAAATAAAGTATATGAGCGCTGCGACTAGAAATTAAGGCAGTCGCACTTATCATGTAATCAGTGTTAATGACGATGATTGCAGGTGTAATATTCAGTTAAGGTTGAAGACGCACCCGCAAAACATTTAAATATAAAAAAAAAAATCTTAGTGACAAAGGTGTTGCTCAATACAAAACATCACATCAACAGTAAAAACATCTTCTAGCCCATGCCAACCAATGAGAATGCAGCTTAGGGAACAGTGGTTAGATGAAGCAGAAAGCAAGTCAATCCCTCTGTCGCTGGTTCCACAAGAGTTTCTTCAATTACAAAATTCAAATATTTTGTCTTAGTTTGGTCAGTATTTTCATGGTCAGACAGAAAATCATTAGCGATGCGTTTTTAAAATGTAATAAAACGACCTCTCCATCGCCTGTTTCCCTCATATGTTATATGATTGAATTCAAACATTGAACATAAAATGATGATTCGCCGCACTTTACCGGCTTGTGCCGTAAGAGGTGGGTTATAAGGCTGGTCTTTCCCAATATGGGAGGTTTTTACAAAAGGGTAAAAACGGCAAAGTGTCAGGAAAACATCATTCCCTTCACTTCAAGGCTCCACTTGGGACTCTTCTGCCGCGTGTTTCTGCATGTGCAAAAGCATCGTCTGTGAACAAGAAAAGGACAATGTTTAGTTGAGTTCTGGATCAAAACTGTATGAAACAAGTTTTTAATTTCAAAATATATGTATACAAAAATGACACCAGAGACATGTGACCAGTTTAATCGTGGATTCTTTATAATCTCATCCTTAAATATCAGTTCCTTTTCAAACTGAGAAGAGCACTGGTTAGACCCGCCCACTCCCACCCCGCAGCTTCTTTGAGGGTTAGTCCATTATAATTAACTGTTTTCCAGCAAACCTTACTGTTGGTAGTTATGCTAATAGTATAGAACTGATTTAAATATATTATTGTTGACTGTTGCACTGTAAATTAATAGTACAGTGTCAGAAATGCACATAATCAAAAAAATAAAATAGACTTGAAGATGATGACATCACTATGTAAAAGAATAAGGCCAACGGCAAAGTTGAAAGGTTAAATGAGAGCTTGTACCTTTTTAGAGCTGATGCGACCACTGAAAAACTCTTCACAGCTCTTCCATCGGCAGCGTAGCGTCTGGCTGCTGCTGGAGTGGGCGTGGGACAAGTGGTGCTCCAAGTGATCCAAAATCCCAAACACCATCGAGCAGCCATGCCACTAAAACAGAAAAGTAAAGCATAAGAAAGATTAAAACCATTTATCATGATGTGCTAGTATCAAAAGGCCCAATTCTATTCTCAGGCAGATATGTCAGAAAAGTAGTTATTGACATCAAAGAGGTTTTCTGCGTCTAATAATAGTTTACTCTCAAAGAAACAAGAAGTGTGTGAGACAGTGAGGAAATAAGAACCAGAATCATAGCGTCTTACCCGACAACGAAAGTTCTGCATAAGGTTGAGTTTGGTGGCCTGCACACTGCCATCATAACAGCCTGTGTAGATCTAGAAAATAAAATCATATCTGTGTAAATGTGTCAAAAGACAAACAAAAGGAGTATGTTTTTCTTCTATTCATTTACCATATTTTTGTGGATTGTCATACACATCACCATGTCCTGGTGTCCGCCATAGACCTGCAGCTGTTCATGAGTCTGAAAGGTCAAACCCACAGATATCTTTAAGTTAGGGAACAAACAAATACATATACAGATGTACAAACTGCAGACTTAGAACAGCTCTGACCTGCAGGTCGTAGACTCGGATCAGTTTGTCGAGGCAGGCGGTCACCATCATCTTCCCCAGCACACACACCACAGAGACTGCGTGACTGTGGCCTTTGTACACACGCAGCAGATGCCCCGTCTGCACAAAGATCAAAAATAATATCAATATCAATAAATAAGAAGACTTTGTGCAGTGTTAAAATCCAGAGAATAAAAGTTGCGTTAAACATTGTGAAAGGAGCCATACAAAAGAGCTCTGGACCCATCTCTGGATTAGATTTAAGACTTTAAAGAAACCTGTAGATCAGTAAAACACTTACATGCATATTGTGAGCATAGACACACTGATCACTGGATCCACTATACACCAGCTCATTCACCACCTAAAGACACAGAGAGAAAAATGGGAGATAAACCACTTGGACTGTCTTTAAATGCATGTATACTTAGACTATGTGAAGCATGTATCTGACCTTCATACAGAGAACAGTTTTGCTGTGTCCCCCCAGCGTACGCAGCAGGAGGCCGTTCTTGGCGTCCCTCACACTGATGGTGCTGTCATATGATCCCACCAGCAGGAGGCGCCGTGCTCCCTCCTGTGACGAGGCCAAACAGCTCACAGCTCGTGGAGCGTGGCACTCGAACATATCCAGCTGTCTGTTCTTCTGCACTCACCAAACAACATAGAACAGCTTCAGTCAAGAGACATGCCCTCAACATTCACATACATACTATTTGGAACACAGGTTTATTTTATACAATATCATTTTACAACCATTTCTCAAGGTATGGTAGCTGCAAAATGTATGCAAATATTTTATTTCTCGTAAAAAGACAAGGGTTGTATAAGCCCAACTGATTACCGTTTTAGAGCTGTTGTAAAGAGAGTAACTAAGAGTATTGTAATTTAATTCAGGATTTTCAGAAGAGCGTAAAATTATTCATAACTTTACAATTGCCTTTGAATTAATCTATTTTTTATTAAATGAATTTGAAAAGTTTTCATTTTGCACTATTCAAAATAATCTTAAGCCTGACCTGGACAATAGTTTACATTGCAATGTTTTCGTATGAGTTTATACCTTGAGGCAAAAAGTGACCACTGTGCCGTTAGCAAGCCCAGCGAACAGGATCTTCCAGCGGCTGTGGAGGCAAAGGACTCGATCTGACATAGAGAACTGCTCCTCCAACTTATGCGTCTGTAGATTGGACATTTCAGATACAGAAATGGTCATAGTCAAAAAAGTAATTTTGTTAGCATTTTATTTCAAACTTAATTTCACACAGGCACATCTAAATCCTTCAAAACAAATGGTGTGAGTTTTTATTTTACCGTAAGACTGTAACAGCAAAGGGTCTGGTCGCTGGAGCCGGTGTAAAGACGTGGAGGGAGACTGGGCCCCACGGACAACAACAGAGCGTTCACTTTGGAGCTGTGGCCTTCAAACACCGCCACGCATTTATGACTCTGCAACAAAACATTAAAACGACTTGAACAAAGTTGCTTGGTAATAACTTTCAGGATAAATACCAGTGAGAATATTGCCATAGGATTGCTGTGAGTTGTGATACAGGGAAAAAAATGTGATCGGTGAATTCCTCTTTACAATGTTTGGGCACATTTCTCTATCAATTGACAAAAGTACAATTGGCTTATATTTAACATGGGATAGCAGTATAACAACTCAACTCAATTTTGACCAATCCATGTTTAGTCAAAACAAACATACCACAATGTCAAAAGCCCTGACAGTGCGGTCTCCGGAGCAGGTGTACAGCAGCCCGTCGTGGATTTGTAAAGAGTTCACCGCCTCGATGTGGCCCTCAAACACTCCTTCTGTGGGCAAGTCATCGTCCCCATGGTCAGAGGAAGCATCTGAACACACACAAACACAACATTAGCTTTGATAATAATGAGGGCGTTATAAATATTCATTCTTAGAAGCTCTTATGGCTCTTCACTTCAGGCATTTGAAATCTGTAATTATATCGTGACCATAAAAAGCACTGAGAACCGAACACAAGTCTATATATATATATATGAGCTCGCCTCGGAGTAAGCCAAAGCTAAATATGGAGTTTGTCATTTAGCGCTTTAGGCGGGTGATTATTCAAGGGTTTTGCACTTATTTCATGAGAGATGCTCATTCAAGTGAGACATTGCATCTATATTCATTAGGGGTGTAACGATTAATCGATACACATTGATTAATCGATATAATGCTCTACGATTTGTTGGCATCGATGCTAAACGTAAACATCGATATATATCGGTCGTTTTTGACCTAGGAGATTAGACGCGACTTTATTTTGATATCCAGTTCATTGTTGCATGCTTCCTCTTTCCGGGAGCAGTGCGCGGCGCGGCGTGTTGTGAGGCTCACACGCCGTCTATACATAGCAGGCACGTGAAAGGGGAGCCGACGGCTACGCAGCTCCTGGGCGGGTGCTATGGCTAATGTCCAAGAAGACGAGGAAATTTGCTCCCCTTTGGGCTTCAAGTCATTCGTTTGGAAGCACTTTGGATTCCAAAGAAAAGATGGCTCAACGGACAAGACACGTGTGGTTTGTAAATTCTGCCATGCTGTGGTCAAATACTCAGGGAACACCACAAATCTCGCCGCACATTTAAAGAAAAAACACGACATCTCTCCCTCAAGCAGTGGCAGCGAAAACAACACGGACACGACGCCCTCCGTGAGCACATTTTTTCCCCAAATGCTAAGTAAAAACTCTAAACGAGCTACATCCATCACTGCTGCAATTTCATATTATATTTGTAAAGACTTGAGGCCATTTAGTAGCGTGGAGGGTGAGGGATTTTCCCAGTTGATGAATACGCTAGAGCCCAGATATAAAGTACCATCGAGACAGTACTTTAGTGAAACATTTGTACCACGTCTATACACCCGTGCTAAAGCGGAGGTATTACGCGAACTAAAGGAAGCAGAACGGGTTGCTATCACTACAGATGGGTGGACTTCTTGCTCAACTGAAGCCTACATTACGGTCACTTGCCACTACGTTGATACATCATGGACGCTAAAAAACTACGTGCTTCAGACTCGTGTTTTAAATGACTCTCACACAGGAGCGAACCTAGCCTCTGTCCTAAACGAAGCATGTGAAGAATGGCACATTGCAGATAAAAACCCAGCTCTTGTAACTGACAATGCCAGCAACATGACCGTAGCAGGAAGAGAGGCGCATTTTCTTGAAGAAGAACCTAACAAAGAAAGCAATATCACATCTTTCAATGGACTAAACAAACATGTGACAAACTACTTTTGATTTTGCACTACATGTTGTATTATTGGCCATATTGAACAGTTCAGAGTAGACAAGGTGTAATGTTGAAATTCTCTATAAAGAGTTATATATTAAGTTATTTTTGTTATGTAGAACAGTGTTTTTCAACCTTTTTTGAGCCAAGGCACACTTTTTTCACTGAAAAAATCTTGCGGCACACCTCCAGGAGAAAATGTAAAAATGTATACAGTACTAATGTAAAAATATATACTGTACATACTCTGTGTGATATATAAAGTATATCTTATCTTATCTTATAATGTATACAGTATACTCTGTAGCCTATATTCACAATATACAGTTATTCTCATCAAAATGCTTAAGTCCAGGCCTTGACATTAAGCTTTATTTAATATTTCTCGATACAATTAACAAGAGTTTGGGAATAAAGTGGCACTAACTGTGTGGAAATAAACTAAGAAAATCCACTCTCTGCCCAAATAGTCAAATAATAACTCACACAAAGAACATGCATTGTTAGTGCATGGGAAAAATTTAGGTATCCGAGCTTTAAATTCAGGAGTTTTGGATGAGGGACACGGGAGGTCCTGAACGCGAGTCCATGGTTCTGTCCGGTCCGCATGTCTGTGGTTCTGTCCACTCGACTACGGTCTGCGCTCGGTACCCAGTTCAGAAGTGCGTTCGCGAGAGCTGTTGTACAAAAATCGTACATTTCATAGTTAAACCACTACAACGCGGCCACAGCTGCCCCGGGGCAGAGCGGAGGATGTTAATCCTGTTCAGAAACGGCATAATTCATTTTCAAAAACGTCTCTATCACTTTCACTTCTCACTCGCCACAAAGCTCTTGTCTCGCTCCCTCCCACATTTGTTGGTCGCATCCAATTTTACCTTTCTCGCCACAATGCTGATCTGTTACAGCCAGTGGTCGCATCCAATTTTTCAGTTTCAAAGTACTTAGCTATCTGCTGCCATCTACTGATTTGAAAAAGTATTACATGGTTACTCACAGTTCAAAACAAGTCACCGCTCGTCAACAGCGAATGCAGTTATTTTTAGACAAAGTAGACGAATTTCTCACGGCACACCAGACAATATCATACGGCACACTAGTGTGCCGCGGCACAGTGGTTGAAAAACACTGATGTAGAAGAGTTAAATAACACCATACATTTATTTATAGTTCTCCGTTATTGCTCTGGTTTATTTATTTTTGCATTTGGATATGGTCAAAGTGTAATGTTTACTACATTTTTGTTTTGTAATGAAATAGTTCAGTAATGCACTTTAAAGTTGAATGGTATTACAAAAAAAAAAAAAAGAGTTCATTGTACTTTACTTACATGGGAAATAAAAGTTCAGTATTACAATAAGCACTTTGTATACTACAATACTCTAATTGCCTAAATAAAGAGTTTGCAGTACCTTGTTGATTGTGTATGAATTGTTATAAATCAGGATATTATATATCGATCGTGGAGCACTATATCGTGATGTATCGTGAATGAATCACAGCAGACTTTAAGATATCGGCAAATATCGTATCGTGGTTCTTTGTATCGATATGATATCGTATCGTGACAAAACTCGCGATTTACACCCCTAATATTCATATACATTTTTCTTGATAATATCTTACCTGATGACGTTTTCCCAACTTGGAGAGTGAAGCTCCCCTGGACATCACTGCAAATAAATAGTCGTTAGTAATAATGAGGTCAAAAGAGGGTTTTTATAGTCTGGCCGCTCAGTTTACGGTACCTGTCTGCAGCAGGGGACGTCTCCATATCGCTGGTGGAGCTGATCTCTACATGTTGGGCCTCTGGTTTGTTGGAGTCCGGGTTCTGGGCTGGACTTCCGAAGCCTTGTGTGTTCGTCTGTGGTTCAGACTTCACTGATACCAGACTGGGCGTCACACAGGGCTGTTTGGTTTTACTTTTTGGATGCTCTCTCTCGACAAGCTCCTCTGAATCCTCCATTTTGACATCCTCGTCCCTCTCTTCTGTCTGCTGGTTGGATGTACTGACCTGGGACCCTCCGCTGCCTCTCCTCTTGGGGCGAGGACATCTGGGCCTCGACGCCTCAGAGTCCATCTCCGTGTCGCTGCTCTCGACCACTTCAGAACTCAGCGCCTTCTTCAGCAGTTTCCTCTTCTTCAGCTTCCTCACCTTCTTTCGGCTCTGCAGGTCGGATGGGGAAGCGGGCACATTGAACACAGGGGATGTGTCGAGTGATGGCGGAGCCGTACTTTCTACGAAACCCCCCATCTCAGAGTTCCGGCGACGTGGTTTCAGCATTTTATCGTTAGTGCTCGGCTCGGCGTGACTTTGCGATGCTTGAATGCCTTTCTCTATGGACAGCACCAATTCAGCTAAACTCTCTTTGGAGTCCACAGATTCTCCAAACTCATCTTGCTCTGGTTCAGGGCGTCTTTGACACAGCTCAGACCATTTTTCAGAAGATGGAAGAGAGCAGTTTGCTACCTCTGCTAATAGAAAATGCACAAATAACTTGGTAAATACACAGTATAGTATAAATGACAAATGGAGGAAAAGTCATGAAAAGTACAATTACTATTAAGTTGCTCTAAATATTCACTCATAATAATCAAAAGTAAATATAACATGTTTTGGGGTTTTTAGGCAGGATTTGTCACTTGCCTGGGACTGATTCAGCAAAGATCACATCTGATGTGGTGCTATGGGCACAGGTGGCAGATTCAATGTGGACAGGGGACCGGGGCTCCTCTTTGACGGCCAAAGAGGCACGAGGATTGGTCCCACACAGAGGAGTGGAGGAGAGGTGTACGTTGGATTCAGCTGTCCTCTCAGGGACAACTTCTGCACTGTCTGCTGGAAAAGGTGAGGATATCAGACATATTGACAGAGACTGCAGGTGTTTATAAAATGCTATTATTGTAACTTGCCTTTCATCCCTTTAAGCAACTCAATACGCTTGTTTCTCAATGTGCTCATCTCTGTTGTCAACTGGGAAATCATAGAGCATGATCAAAACACTTAAAGGCACACCGCGGACTTTGTGACCTAAAGAGTTGACACATATGAGTTATTTTATATGAATACTTGGGCCAATATACAGCGCTTGACACTTGCAATGCTCCGAGCGGGGCTGCCCTCTTGAAATACCGCCCATGTAAGTTTCGAGCAGACGGACCGTCTGCCACCAGGTCACGTGACTTGGAAGAAAGACTTGCTTTACGGCTACAGGCGCTGATATACTCATGGAGCTAAGGCTTTTGCTACTCATTTTTCACCTGCTCGACTCCTGGTCATGGCTGAGGCAAGGAAAAATTTTAAACCTTCGGAGGAGGCTAAAAAGAGGAAACGCGAAAGGGATCGTGCTGTAAGCTGCATGTCTGTATGAGCGCTGCTCTTCACCTGGTTCCTGGATGTCATCGACTGCAAAGATGTCATTCCACGCAGCACGAGCTAGACGCAGAACTCCCTCATCCAGGATATAGAAGTCCATGTGTGGTAGATTACTAATGCAGCTGTCTGGAGGCTGACCACAGCAGAGTCTCTCAATATCTGTAGGCATGTCTCTACAGTTTGAACACACACACCAGTGCATGCTGTCTGAATACACACTCAAAAGACACCGGCTGACTGTTTGTTGACTTTTGCGACAGTGCTGAGTTGCTTGTGGCCACTAGGGGCGCTAAACGTGAAAGTTGCAGGTCTAGCGCCCCTAGTGGCCAAGAGTTACACGGTGTGCCTTTAAGTCGTGTAACTATCCAAAGAAAACATGCGTGAAAGAACCGTACCTGTTGCTTGGTCATCATCAGCCTCTGCACCTCCATGTAGGCGGCTTCCAGAGTGGCCCGAGCATTCATTAAGTTTGTGTCCAAACCTATGAGGGACTGACTGAGCTCATCCTCACGCAAAGACACCGCCAACAGCTCCTCAATATGAGAGGGCTCTGCACCTACAAATGCATATCACGTCTATGAGGTCATCAGTTACAGAAAAAAACCATTGTGGTTAATACCTTTTTTGGATTTTATTTTCCTTCTTTTGGTGTGATGCTCCAAAGAAGATGTCCCAGGGTGAGCCACATCCTAAGTAAGAGTTGGAAACAATATTTTCAATTTATCATGGTAAAATGTTGGATTATACATATGATTGTTAAATACAAAGAAACATTAGAAGGGACCATCCAGATCATACTAAATTTCCTGTGCATTTTTATTTTTGTATCAACTAAAAATACACGTACAAACATTTTTATTATGAGACTCAAGTCAACATTTGAATGTTATTGTATCAACCAACCCAAATGTTCACCGAACATATAAGAATCTAAATAATTATGCATGAGAGAAAGACTGGTCTATAGTAAACTCACTCGTGTTGCTCTTCTCTTCTTGGCCGTCCCCTGCCCATCACACATCTCTGTTCCAGAGCTGCTCTCACAGAGGACAGAATCCTGCCTCTGCAGCAGCTTGGTCCCTCTCTGCAGAGCATCCTCAACTTCACACAGGTCCTGGGGCAGCTCCTGGGGCAGCTCCTGGGGCAGCTCCTGGGGCTCTGATTTAATCACTACCATGTCGTCCAAAAAAAGATTATTTGGTGTTGGGGCAATGCTGCTCTCGGATAGTGAGCGTTTTCGGGAGGCAGGGTGAGTTTGGACATCTGGCAGAGAGTCCCATTGGAAGCCCTGCAGCAGAAGGAAGTCATCCTCCTCTTGACTGTGACACTCTTGGTCCATAGGCACCATTTCTATTCCAAACCTACAGAGCCAGGTGAAAAAACACATCATTATGTTCATATAAGTCGGTATGGCGTTACTTGAAATGAATTAAAATTGATTTAAACACATGATTAGACAGACCAACAATGAGAGGAAAGAAAATATTTTCAAGATAAGACAATAAAAGCTAAAAAAAATAAGTTTTATATTTGAAGGCCGCAATGAGACATTTTTAGTACAGAATTACACAAACATGTTCAATTGACTTTCACTTTACCTTGGCATGCCTTTGCCCTTGTCCTGCTTCTTCCTGACCTCATTATAGACCTGATCCCAGTTAACATTTCTCCGGGAGCCGGAGGAGCTGATGAGCTGTCGGACGGTGGGCTTCAGTCCAGTGTCTTTGTCAGTGTCGCTCTTCTTCGACCCGCTCAGATTTCTGACTCGTCTTGCGATGTTCAGGTTGGGCTTGTTTGGAATACCGTGCTTTGTCAAATCCTTTTTTAGAACTGGAAGTATGTCCATTGAGGATGCTCCTGCCAACTGCTTTTGTTGGTCTGCGGTTTTTGAAGAAGCGAGGCCTTCTTCGGGAGTAACTTCAAAGGGTATAGTTTCTGCATTGTTCTTCATTTTGTCAGCTTCCTGGTTCGTAATGGGACTGACTAAGCTCTCTAGGGATGTGCTGACTTGAAGATGCTGAAGGGATGGCCCTGGTTTGGCAGGTTTTATCAAAGCGGGACTAGATGACATAGCTTGATTCTGCTTCGTCTTTTCCTTGTTACATCCATCTTGTCTTTGCTCTTGTACCTGCGGCGTCTTTTGCCCAATGCTATTTAAGCTGTCCAAGGACCGCCTCTTTTGTAACTGCTTAACTTTTTTCACAGTTTCTGGTAGCTGCCGATCAGACTTTGATAAACCGCTTTTTTTTGCTTTCGTCTTCTCATTATTTAGACTAGATGGTGTGTTAACCTGAGCTCCAGCACTTGGACTTGCACCTAAGGAGGTGCTCTCTGTTTGCTGTGCTGTTTTTTTAGCCCTTTGAGTAGATGGACTAGGAGTAATAGTTGTAGAACTAGCATTTGTGTTAAAAGTACTAGTAGAATTTTGCTGACCATCCTTCTTAAGACTGCCTTTTCTACCACTATTATTACCAATTTCCCCTCTTGAGTTTCTTTGTTCAGGCTTGGGCGTGCCACTTTCACTTGCCTTCTCTATTTGTTGTGATTTGGGAGTTTTCTGAACAAGATTTGGCATAGACTCAGACGCTTTACTATTGACATTATACGGCGACCAGCGACTCGTTTTGTCAAATTTGGGGTTGTTGCCAGACTTGTTTCCTTTGTTGTTGTAATTTTCTGAATACGTGTTTTGTTTGTCTGCATGTTTAGGCTCAGGCCCTTTGGGCTTAGCTCCTTGCTCTGGGGCCTGATTTTGATATTTATTGACCCCTTTTGAGAAAAACTTTGGCAGAGGCGGAGGTGGCCCACGGAAATTTTGGGATATGTTATTGCACCCGTAAACACCGTTGCTGCTGCCTGCATTGCTGATCCATGGAGGTGGCACTTTGTTGAAGTTCTTGGGGTTGGGCGGCGCCTGTGCATGCCAGGTGGAGCTCTTTCCCCATTTATTCTGCTGCCAGGGCCTCATGTTTTGCATTTGCCCAGGGTTGGTGCCGTACTGGTTGCCCCTGTGCCATGAACCGGCCTGGGACTCGTTAAAGTTGGCCGGATGGTGCATTTCGAATCGGAAGCGCTCTTTTGTTTCCTTCAATCTCCGCTGGAACTCCTCCTTCCTCTTCCGTTCAGCTTCTTCATGAGCGAGCTTTGCAGCGGCCATCTCCTTTTCCATTCTATTAGCAAAATGGGGGAAATATTTTTTTAGTAATTCTGCAAATTAAGAACTAAAACGAAACAGAAATTGTAGAACCAAGAATACAGAACTATATGGAAAACAGTTAAGCAGGTCAAAGATGCAAGAGCTACGATACTCAGTGAAGCAACTCTGAGGAACTTTCAAATTAAAAAATATGTCCATGTAGAATAAAGGACTTAAACATTTTACTTAAGAACAGAACTTTAACTTCAGACCTCAGAACTTTATTTTCACAGATCTTGTTATGTTTAATGGAAAGCATGTCATAGAAGCTAGAGAAAATGTCTTTTTGCTTCAGCTCTGACATCGGACTCCAGACGCCACAGAGGCTAAAAAAGGCCAGTCAGGTGCAACAGGCAGAATGTGCCTATACAAGGACCAAGCACATGAGCACTTGTCACTACATAAATGCATCACGTGTAAAACTCAAGAACTATTTACATTGACTATCTGTCAGTTCTGTGGAGTAGTTCGCCGCTTTGATCATCCCTGATATAATCGTTTGCGGCCTCCATTTTGAGATAATCATGTTCCCTGAGACAATACATTGAACTCAACTGATGCATTTGTTTTACTTGGAAATCAATAAAACTATGTTGTTCATTGCAAAGGCCAGTTCAGTTCACAATGTAAATGCAGCCTAGGAAAAGGTCTAAAAACACATTACAAATCAAAACAACTTCCTCTGAACTCTTTGAATGTGTGAACATAAACAAGGTGAAAAGGGCCAAGACAACATACAATACAATAGTCAACATCAGCAATAAGACTGACCTCATTTGCTCATTTCTCCTCTCGATCAGCTTCACCAGATCCTTGTCAAAATATTCCTCATCAGGGGCATTGCGAGCCGGGATGCGTTCAAAATCTTCCACCTTTTCTTTGTGTGTGGGACTGGAGATGTGGCTGGCGTAGTCCGTTAGGCTCACCACCGTCACCTTACACACCCGGCATTTGTGGCCACAGTCCCTGGCGAGCATAGGCGAGAGCGGCCTGTCAATCTTTCCTTCTGGCATTTTTTCAGAATTGGTATAGTTTTCCTGTATATATATAACTTGGTCTGTACTTTTAGTAAACAAAAATTAGGAGAGGAGATTACTCAACAATCCTTTAAGTCCGAATTCTCTATCCTAAAACGATCAGGAGGTAGCTAACTTAAAAAGTGTCTGTTGTGTAAAAAAATAAATAAAAAGTTCGGTTTTGTCATCCTGATCGTCTATAAATGACCGCTTGTGAGCTGGTGGAGGAAGGTAGGGTGAGGGCAGAGGGCAGCTGAGCATATGCAGCCATTCAGCTTAGAGGAGCGGCTCACTGTGCTGCCATGATGGTGTCCCACTGCGCTCTGAAGGCCAGGACAGGGATAGCTTTGCTTTTGACCTCAGCCCCCCCAAAGGATTCAGTCCCCGCCCCCTCTCTAATGTACCATGTGCTGTTTGACCAATCCCAGTAGAGAACTATGTGAAACCAGAGCCTCTCTTTCAGCTGCTCGCGCTGCTAAACCTCTGTAAAAGTATGTCACTCTGTCGTTGTGATACCGCTGGCTCACACTCCAATTTCTTTTTCTAATCTGTGTCAGGGCATTTGGCCATTATCAAACTCTCGTGCAGTTGACACCATTCCAAACGGATTAGGTTTTTTGACTTTAGGTACCACCCTCAACTATCATTCAGATTTAACATTAAAATAAAACATTTGAATACCATATAGAGCCAAAATAATGTAATACTGACCTATTAATAAAAACATTTTTATGCTTTGTGCAAGGACATACAAGGTCTAAACCTATAAACACTTTTTATTTTAATCAACATTCACTTCCAGCCTGTAAATTAGTCTTATTGTTTGGGTTGTTCATAATTTCCTCTATTTTCTACGCTATCTTGAACAAACAGGTTGAGGCATGGCCGGCCAGCTGCTCATTTGACTGCTGTAAATACTGTTTTTGTCCAAAGACAGTAATACACATTGGACCAGCATTCCTCAACCTTTAAAGTGGAGTGGTACAAAGCACTATTACTCACCAGCTACAATTATTTGCTCAACATTGTATTTGTACTCAGGATAGATACTTTTAAGTTGCAACAATTCAAGCACAACAACTATCTACTTACATGTATACCCAATACCTACAGTAAATAAACAATATCCAGGCATCTATAGAATATTGAGTATCTGGTGTTTAGTGTTTTTCCCTTTGCATCACGTTTAATACGGATCATCTGCAGACAAATCATGATGTACTACACTCTAGTAATCCCATCAAAACAAAAGCAACATTCTTCTGATTATGAAACGGTCATTCACTTTAGGTATCTTGTATTATATGTTACTTGCACATTAACGTTTCATGTTGAAATACTAAACCAAGGGGAAGAACTTTGAGGGCTCAAAGTTCTTCCCCTGCAGCTGTAGCCTACATACTTGTCTAATCTACAGTGGAGTCACCAGATCCTGTCCAGTTGCCTGGTATCGGACATGTCTGTTGTTTGCTGATATTGTGACTAAATATAAAGAGATGAAGCAGCTGTCGCGGATCCACTTTCCTAGTGACTGAATTGGGCACGTGCTGCTGGACACACGTGGCTTATATACTACAAATCTAGCTCACTTTAATAAGAAATAAAGAATGAATATTATGTCTTAAAAAGGACCAATCCACATCCTAACTTAATACTAATGTTAATGAATTAGTATTTCCTAAAAATGTAGTTAATAGTAAACAGGCTATTCACAAAAGGGTGCCCCCGTGTACATACCGTACATGCTTAAAAAAAAAAAAACTTTCAACAGTTACCTATTAGTTACATTTCTAATAGGTTGCAGATACCCTAGATATCGATTAAGTTTGTAAAATGTAATTTCTGCAGGATATGCTCTCACCGGCCTTTCAAATTTTCCAGCTCTCTGTGGTGCAGCATACTTCGCATGTGTTCCTCCATTTCCTTAAAACCACAAAATAAGTAAAAATCACAGTGAACATTGAGTTGGAGCAATGCAAAAAGTCTGTATGTATCAGAAAAACTTACCTGTCTAGAGATGCAGACAGTCTCACACAGAATGCATTTTCTGTTTTTAGCCATCTTAAAAACAGATTTAACTCAGCAGCTCATTACTGAAACAAAGCAACAGATATGCTGTCAGTGTTGGATTATTCAAAACATTTCAACTTTGGAAAAAAGTCAAGTTTGACTTCTACACTTAAATTCCATGTATGTGTGCAAAACAATCACATGCAGCAACGGTTCTCTAGAGGTCATTTACCCATGCTACAGTGCAGCTAAATCTAATTTTGTCTGCAGAGACAGCCTGTGAGGCCGAAAATATAATGCCACACTCACCTACACTACAGTTTCTGCTTGTCTTGTGATTTTAAAGGATTTGCATTGGGATTGTATAGTATATGTGGTGAAAAGTATTATGAAAGTAAGTCAAGTTGAAATGTAAAAAATAAAAGAAACAGTATTTAATTTTCACAATGACGACCAAGCCGTTTCCCAAGAGCGTATATAATGAAAAATAATATTGTTTAGAGATGATCCAATCAGATCACTGAATGACCCTCAGTTGTGTCTCTCATTTGGGTTGGAAGTTACAATACAGAAATCTTGATTTGATCACTACTTCAAGCATCTGCAGAAAATACCATGCACCAAATGAATAATCAATACCCTTCTCTGCAAAGCAGCCACTTGTGACCTCTTGCTGCAGGTGAAGACCTTGTAGAGCAAGAGCAGCATGATTAATCACAATAAAATCTGGTCACAAGTAGCAAAATGAAAAGACAGCAATCATTTGCAAAGAAAAATGAGCCAAACGATGTTGGGAACAGTCTTCTTGATTTGGGTACATTTTGAAGATCTGTAAACCGAGCAAGTATCTTTCATCTTGTAATTTCTCATTTCAAATTAGATCAAAACTCAAGTCTGACAATAAGAATTTGTGATATAAACTACTGAATTAAGTAGATAAAAACTACTTAATTCAAGTGTTTATATATAAATTTCAATATGTTTTTGTTTTTAATTAAAATAAATTCTTGTTATGGGCATATTTTTTTATATAAATGTGTGGTATTCTTAAATATTTATAACTCCAATAGAACTCCCTGGAAGTTATTTTTGCTCTGAACAAACTGAGACTTAAGAAATGTGTATAATAAAAAATCCATGGTAATAGATTTTCCGTTGTGCGGCCCTAGTTACTTGTTTTCAGCGAGAGATGTTGCGTACTATGTTTGATGTGTGTGGTTAATTAGCCTTCAGGATTGATAGTTTTACAGTTTTTTTTTAAAGGAAAAGTTAATAGACAGAACTCAATCTTAAAGTGATCAGTTGGGTGTGTTTCCTAATATACACATTTCTTTCGCATGTAAATTTCCCAAATGGCAGACAACACCTTGCTTTGGTATAAACATCAAATCAAATAAATGTATTTTTGAAGCACCCAAAGTCACAACAGCAGTGGTAGGAACGTTGAGCATTACAGATTTAGATTTTTCAAAGGCAGATTAGAAAATCAGAATCAACCCCATTAGATCAAACAACGAGAGCAGTCAGATTAGCCAGAATTCACAGGGAATTGAGCAAATAGATAAAGCCCTTAAACCCTCCTTTAACGGAAAGGTAAAATTAGACTAGTGAGAGAAACCTCGGGTAAATAAAGACACGTTTTGCGAGTAAAAGCTGACTGTAAGACACACAAAACGACCACAAACAAACTGTTTGGTAGAGTTCAGAAGTTTGGTTTCAACAAAAAATCAACAACGTGGATGGGCAAAAACAGCCACGCTAAATACTTTAACATTTAAGGCTAAAGATTTTTGAATGACCCAAAGAATAAGGTAACATCTTATTTGATGCACCCGTGAAAACCTTCAGCTCAACCACTGCATCAGTCATGTTATTTATACACCGCTGCAGGTTCATTCATTCATCTCAACAACAGTCTGCAGCGAAATGAAAATCAGGACACGCAATCATCATAGGATTTAACTTTCGCGCCAGATCATTTAAGACCGACGATTTAGTATAATCTCCTCTCTCATTCACCGCAAAATACAAACAAAGATTTTAACATATTGGTAAACAAAAACATTTTGAGATGTTTTTGTTAATACAAAAGGCAAACTACTGAGGTATACATAAACACAGATGGAAACGAGCAGAAGTTTCTCTGAAGAAGTCAGTGCAACACAACCATGTTACGTTAGCCCAGCTGAAGGGAAAAGCCTACGAGTGCATTTGTCTCCAGAATACTTCGTATCTTTAAAAGATCATATAATCCCTTATAGTGGATACCAAATACTAGATAAGGTAACTTTCAATTAGCGAGCGTGGAGTTACGTGCTAACATATGACTTTTGCAACAACAAAACTCAACACAGAACAGTCACATATGATGAATCATCTAAAACATGGCATGTAATTGCAAGTGTATGCAAAGTAAAATCCATTGAACATTACCTTTATAAAAACCAACACTGTGATTTGAGCTTTTACTCTTCCATCGCTAAAGCTAACAACAACATCCTCTGCTGGCACCGCCCACACGGATTTCTCCTGCATTACTTCCGGTGACACCGTAAAGACTGACCCCTGCTGGTGACGTATGGGAACATTACAGTCTATGATGGGAACACATACTTTCTTTTTGTCGCATTTGTAAAAACTATAGTACAAAATAGTGTGGTGTGCCCCTGGTAGATTTGACCTTTTTAGATGAGATGCTTATCAAAGTTAATGATAAGCATCTCGCCAAACAATGTACAATACGACAGTTTGGCTTTTAACACTGTGTCCTTCACTAAAAATTGTCAAAATACAAAAATAAAATCACACATAATTATTTTTCAATCTTTTTGTATTTTGTATAGACTGACAAACCTGTGATGCTGCCATTCGCCTCTTTTGGCTGCAGATCCTTTCTTTTGTGTTGTTTTCATAGAGGCCCGGAGGCTGTAAGCTTTCGTCTGTGTCATTATCATTAAACTGCGGAAGAATAAATATTTGTACCATGTGTGGGAGTAAACAGTTGTCAACTATGCAACTTCAGCAGTTTTAAGTTAACCAGCCATGTAGTCCAATTTAGCAAATGCTTCACTTTTTTGGAGCTCATGGTCTCTTTGAGGATGTTAATGCAGTGTTTCATATGGTTATATTTTACTTGTCCAGACAGTAACTTTCAGTTTCAAAACTGGACATCATTTGGACCTTAAGGAGATTTATTTTTGGATCCTAACAGTCTGTATTGAGAGTGGCTCTGCAGGTTCTTCCCTGTTTAACCCTCCAGTCATTTGTTCTACTGGGTACAAAAGGTGGATCTCTTTACTCTCCTTTAGATTTAGCTAAACCTTTCTTGTCCTAAAAGTTTAAACTTTATATACTATATATAATACAGTGTTTATTTACCTTCACATCACAGATTAGGACTAAGATCAGAAAGAGTCCCCATTCAAATGACCCATTGAAAATATTTAACATAATATAGCTGCCATTTAAGATGTTTTTAAATATTTATTGTGTAGAAAACTAATGAATGTAGAATGATAATTATTATTATCCCCAAAAAAATCCCTCATCTCCCATGTAATAAAAAGTAACATCAGCAGTGATTTTTATCATCTAAATAAATACATACATACAATACATAGTTCAAAAATACAAAAAAAAATTCACACATAAAACCATAATTTTATTAGAAATGATTGTAGTCACATTTGCAAAATAAGTCTAATTTTCCCTTTTTGTGAAATGTTTAGTAGCTGTGTCATTGATGTTTTCAAAATAAAACATAATAATTATTAATAATTATTATAATATAAATAACAACAGTAAAATCATGTCTAATCTGCAGAATCCATCCATCCATCCATCCATTTTCTTCCCCTTAATCCATTTCTGGGTCGGGGGGGTGACAGTCAGAGCTGCACCCAGTACACAGAGCACCAGCCCCTCACTGATCCTCCTGCAGGTGGTGAGTCAATCTTTCAGTTGGGGCTTTGGGCAAAGTAGGGTTAAGTGTCTTGCCCAAGGACACAACGACAGCAGTCATCAGTAGGAGTCGTGAAGTAGGTCTTACGGTGGGCTCGAACCCACGACCTTCAGGGCCAAAGGCCAATGCTCTATCAACTGAGCCACTGTCGCCCTATCTGCAGAATCCAACATGACTCAATGTCTCCATAGATCAACTTTGGAAATGTATTTTGAACAGTGTTTGAAGAAATTGATGACCTTAACAAGAACTAAAACAAGCAGTAACTTTGGTATAAATGTGAAACAAATCAAACTAGAACCAATATAAAAATGGGAGACCTAACTGAGTCAAATAACATTCACTGTAATTTCACTAGACTCAGTTGATTTGGTTGAGTTCTCGTTCTTTGTTCCTTCGGTGTCTCTTCCTCATCTTGATTATCCACTGAACTGAAAGTTTAGCAAAATTAGCAGCTTTAAACAGAGCCATGAAAACTCCACAGAGGATTGCCATCGAGCTCCAGGCGTTTGCCGTCACAATCTGTAAAAGAAAGTATTGTAACAATGTTGCATAAAAAGTTTGCTTGACTTTGTCTATTCTATTTGATAACATTTCAATATGCTATGATTCAGTTTTCAGGGCCAAAACTATGACTACGGTTTATGTTTATGAACTTAATCTGGTGGCACTATCATATGATGTGCAGCTTGTATCTACAAGTATCTGAAAGTTCACTCTGGAAGGATAGGAACAAATTAAAATTAAAATAAAAAAAACATTTACATTCATGCAAGATAGTACTCACCAGTTTAATCTCTTGTATATAAGGATCCCTCCATTCAAAAACAGCAAAGAAAAGTTCATCTGTTCTTTCAGGAACTGGGCGCTTGTCGTTGAACTTCACCACAGAAGACTGAAAGGAATAAGTAATGATTAAAGTATTAGAACTAAAAACAGCATATCCATTTTTATCAGTCTAAAGAAGGATCACTTTAAGTCAATAATGCACTAGGACTGAAAAAACGTGCCACTCTATCTTTTATTGCCAATTTTCTTTATTGTACCGTACACATAATTATATCCCGCACAGACTATATTTTCAACCTTTAACATGTTGCACACTTCTGTCTTTTGCACAATCTGAGTGATTCTATCAATGCCAAATGTGACATGTGAATTTCTCCAGTGTGAGATCAATAAAGTCCATCTTCTTATCTTAAATACCTCTTGTCGAAATTCAGTGCCATCATTGGTTTTCCCAGAAGTTCGAACCAGCGACATCTTAACTCTGGTTCTAAATCCTCCAGAGAAGGTCCACATGGAGTAGTTTCTCTCACAGTCCCTCATGAACTCTGAATGATTAGCACTGTCATTAGTTAAAATGAGATCATTAGATTAGAATATTAACAAGAGTTATAAAGCTATGCATTTGCTTTAGCCCAGTGCAACATAAACAATGAGCAACAGTAAAGTATAAGTATGGCAGGTACACAAACACGCATAATCACAATGAAAGGGTGATTAGTGTAAGACTAGTGGCCAGAGGTATCTTAAATTTCAATCTCAAATGACATATACATATTTTGGAAGTGTCTCCAGATATTAGGTTAACGTGTACACATCATATTTGGCCTTTTCTGAACAAAAGATTAAAGTGTAGTTATTCTTAATTAAAAAAAAAATCTATGATGAACCCCATGTCCATAATATTCATTTACATTTTTTATGATTTTCAAGAATCAATCAGAACCAATCAGAGAGAAGAATGGGGCTCTCATTTTAGTTGCCAGTTTGTCCGGAGAAATATATAGTTTTGGTTTTAGATTTTTTTTTTACATTCACAAAGAAACTAAAATAACACCACACATTTGTTTAAATAGAAGCAGGTACAAAAATAATAGTTGTAGCACAAAGATAGTTGTATTTATAGCTGGTGTGCATCAGTAATCAGTGCTTCGGGGCTATATATTTCACAGGCAGTGAGATTCGCGGAACAAAAGTTGGATTGTAATCGATTACTTTATTGACCCATAATTGTGCAAATTACATGCACAATTAGTGGTTCCCTTAAATACAAAAATGTGTGATATATAGTTAGCAATTTATTATTCTAAATACAGCAACTACGTTGTCTTAGTATGTTCCAGTTACGTATTCAAAGATAAAAACGCATATTTGAATAAACATAATCATACCTATTGATCAGGTCGCTGTATTTGGCAAAGAGCATGTAAGAGATGGCACTGAAGTCTTCTAGTGTTTCATTTTGACTGAACTGCATGAAGATTAGCTCTTTATTTCTGACATCAGACGGGCCGCGGATCACCAAGGCTGTCTTCTGGAACTCACAGGACAGAACACAATTCTGTATTCAAATATTTATTTATATTCCAATAATCACTTTGTTGTCATTATTTAAAAATTACTTATCATTTCAGTTTCTTTTTTGTGTTAATGTGAGGGCAACTATCATCAAAGCTTACCGTAGACTGATTTCGAAAAGGACCATTGTATGAGACTACTTGCATCTCACAATCACCTTCTTGAGGCTGTCCCGGATTCACTAACGGAGGGATAAACTCTCGGTAGTGATGTCTACAGCTTAAAAGTCGCGCGTTGCCCGGAAATAAAGCAATACCTGGTTTAGAACACAAAGCAGAAATATTAATCAAAAATAACTCTTTAAACTGTAAGATAACATCAAATTGGAAAGTTCTCCGGTCGCCTTGAGTATTCTGTGGCTCTATAAGTAGAGATAGAGACAGCGATTGATTAGATTGAAAACTCGTTGTTAAATTAGTAGACTCTCTTTGATGAGTTAACGTAATCAATTATTTAGATCTAGATGTTGTTGCAATACATGGTTATAGCATCATTTCTCGATCAAGTTCGATACAAAATGTAGATTAAAAGAATCCCTCTGAAAGATAACCCTTGTTGAAAAGGTGTATAATATCAATATACAAACCTGGTGGTGAAAAAGTCTCTACTTCTTTGTATGTGACAGACATTACTGGGTTATTCATTTTCTCCATGAAGTCTTTGATGGTTTGATAGGCAAGAAAAGCAGCTATCGCAGTCAAGAGCACATAAATCAATATAAGAACTACTATAAATACATTTTTGACACAGTTTTTGCTGAATTTCAATGGTTGACTGTTCCCATTTGTCTCCTCCTCTCCTGCAGACAACAGAATAGAATATAATCACACATAATTATTTTTCAATCTTTTTGTATTTTGTATAGACTGACAAACCTGTGATGCTGCCATTCGCCTCTTTTGGCTGCAGATCCTCGTCTTTTGTGTTGTTTTCATAGAGGCCCGGAGGCTGTAAGCTTTCGTCTGTGTCATTATCATTAAACTGCGGAAGAATAAATATTTGTACCATGTGTGGGAGTAAACAGTTGTCAACTATGCAACTTCAGCAGTTTTAAGTTAACCAGCCATGTAGTCCAATTTAGCAAATGCTTCACTTTTTTGGAGCTCATGGTCTCTTTGAGGATGTTAATGCAGTGTTTCATATGGTTATATTTTACTTGTCCAGACAGCAACTTTCAGTTTCAAAACTGGACATCATTTGGACCTTAAGGAGATTTATTTTTGGATCCTAACAGTCTGTATTGAGAGTGGCTCTGCAGGTTCTTCCCTGTTTAACCCTCCAGTCATTTGTTCTACTGGGTACAAAAGGTGGATCTCTTTACTCTCCTTTAGATTTAGCTAAACCTTTCTTGTCCTAAAAGTTTAAACTTTATATACTATATATAATACAGTGTTTATTTACCTTCACATCACAGATTAGGACTAAGATCAGAAAGAGTCCCCATTCAAATGACCCATTGAAAATATTTAACATAATATAGCTGCCATTTAAGATGTTTTTAAATATATATTGTGTAGAAAACTAATGAATGTAGAATGATAATTATTATTATCCCCAAAAAAATCCCTCATCTCCCATGTAATAAAAAGTAACATCAGCAGTGATTTTTATCATCTAAATAAATACATACATACAATACATAGTTCCCACAGACCAATGAATGTCACATGACCTCCTCGGAGACGCCATCTTTGATGGCACGCTGCTGTGTTTGTGCATTCCATTAAACAGAAGAATGAGAATAAATGTAGATATTCAAACGCAAATTGGAAAAAAAGGGCAACTTTTGAGCAAATAATTGTATATTAATACAATGGCACCACAGTTTAACGTGCTACGGACATGTTTTACATATTTGATCAAATTATGCAGCAAAAATTAACAAGCAATGCAAACATTTCTCAAAAACTTTAGATTTAATACCAGTTGGAGCTCCATTTAATTATTTTAATTATATTAATAATTAATTTAATTAATGCTAATGCCACACGGACACTCTGGATTGCTGTTATTGTTTATTTCCGCGTTTTTGACCGTATGTTTTGGTGAATGGTGGGCAACTGATTTTTCCAGGCGTAAAGAGCAGTTTATTTTATGACACAGATCTTTTTACAGAAGCAATGCTGTTTGTGAACATTGTTTTAGCCCACCATAGAACTATTATTATCTATTTAATACATTTACGTTGCCCTCGAGAGCCTCGGACGCGACACCGATCCTCCTCATAATAAAGTAATCTAAACTAGAAACTTGCAATGGCTGAAGCCATTGCGATTGACTGCGGAACAGATCTAATGTGGAATTTAGCTGAAAAATCCTTGAAATCCTTGAAACTGTTAAAATACTTTAAACATCTTTGAAACTCCTGAAGTATTTGAAGCTCTTGATATCCTTTAAACTGTTATCCTTTATACTGGTTTACATGTAAAAACCCCTATTAAGTTGCATTATACTGGTTTACATGGAAAAATCCCCATTAAGTTGCATTATACTGGTTTACATGTAAAAAACCCTATTAAGTTGCATTATACTGGTTTACATGGAAAAATCCCTATTAAGTTGCATTATACTGGTTTACATGTAAAAATCCCTATTAAGTTGCATTATACTGGTTTACATGTAAAAACCCCTATTAAGTTCCATTATACTGGTTTACATGTAAAAACCCCTATTAAGTTCCATTATACTGGTTTACATGTAAAAAACCCTATTAAGTTCCATTATACTGGTTTACATGTAAAAAAAAAAACCTATTAAGTTGCATTATACTGGTTTACATGTAAAAACCCATATTAAGTTGCATTATACTGGTTTACATGGAAAAATCCCCATTAAGTTGCATTATACTGGTTTACATGAAAAAAACCCTATTAAGTGGCATAATACTGGTTTACATGAAAAAAACCCTATTAAGTTGCATTATACTGGTTTACATGGAAAAATCCCTATTAAGTTGCATTATACTGGTTTACATGGAAAAATCCCTATTAAGTTGCATTATACTGGTTTACATGGAAAAATCCCTATTAAGTTGCATTATACTGGTTTACATGGAAAAATCCCTATTAAGTTGCATAATACTGGTTTACATGGAAAAATCCCCATTAAGTTGCATTATACTGGTTTACATGGAAAAATCCCCATTAAGTTGCATTATACTGGTTTACATGGAAAAATCCCTATTAAGTTGCATTGTACTGGTTTACATGGAAAAAACCCTATTAAGTTGCATTATACTGGTTTACATGGAAAAAACCCTATTAAGTTGCATTATACTGGTTTACATGTAAAAACCCCTATTAAGTTGCATTATACTGGTTTACATGGAAAAATCCCCATTAAGTTGCATTATACTGGTTTACATGAAAAAAAACCCTATTAAGTTGCATTATACTGGTTTACATGAAAAAACCCTATTAAGTTGCATTATACTGGTTTACATGGAAAAATCCCTATTAAGTTGCATTATACTGGTTTACATGGAAAAATCCCTATTAAGTTGCATTATACTGGTTTACATGGAAAAATCCCTATTAAGTTGCATTGTACTGGTTTACATGGAAAAATCCCTATTAAGTTGCATTATACTGGTTTACATGAAAAAATCCCTATTAAGTTGCATTGTACTGGTTTACATGGAAAAATCCCTATTAGGTTGCATGATTACATGATTACACTGAAGTCCTTGAAACTGCTGAAGTCCTTGAAACTGCTGAAGTCCTTGAAACTGTTGAAGTCCTTGAAACTCTTGAAATCTTGAAACTGCTGAAATCCTTGAAACTGCTGAATCCTTGAAACTGTTGAATCCTTGAAACTGTAGAAATGTCTGAAAGAGCTGAAGTCCTATTAAAATGCATGGGCCTATTAAAATGCATTGCAGAATTCTCAATGCAGATTTTTGTCCGATTGCGGAAAAACCGGAAATCGCTGAAGTCCCAAAAGTAATAGCAATAATCTCCCAAACATGTGGAACGTTTTGATGTATAACTTGTGGAAATTGTTGAAAATGTGAAAGCTGTGAAACGTGTCAAAAAAAATGACGGAATAAAGAAATACAAAACCAATGGTTGACTGCGGAAGGTTCCGCAGTCAATCAATAATGAAACTCTCAAGTTACCAGATATCAGCATACACAAGTTAGTACTGAGTAAATTACGTCTGTCAACACATTATGAGATACGATACGCACCTGACACAAAGTGCTCCGAGCATATTCTTGCGTGTTTTGAGGGAGTTTCTTGCCTGTTTATCTTCGCAAGCCATAACCTCCGTGGTTGTTCTGACAAAAGCTTAGTCTTCTCACATTCATGAAGTCTAATGATGGGTATACTGTAAAATCCAAGTTTAACGGAACCTCCGGCACGATTTGAACATCCATTGACCCAGCAGGAGATGACCATTTTCAACTTTATCACGACATTAACACGTTTCAGCTTCTTTTTCTATTGTTTTGCCCACAGCATGCCAACACAAATGGCGCCGGGTCGGCAAATCCCCGTATGTAGTGACGTCATGTGGGAACTATGTATAGGAAATACTGTTTCTGTTCATGTTTAAGTAAAGCAGATTTGCACATGTGATTCATCTTCAATGTTTGATGACACTGGCGAAAATGAGAAGTCAGCGAAAGCAGCGGGGCAGTGGTCAGCTGTGTGCCGTCACGTGATTTTTGACAATTCTAAGGGACAGAGTTTGAAGGATTTCTAAACTATTGTGGACTCATGTGATCGATGTTGGAGACCCGTGTGAACGTGTTGACTCACCTCTTCGTAACCCCGAGTCTTGTCCTTTCTGAGCATTCCTCTGCGCGCTCCTCAATAACGATTTACGTTTCTTCAAGTCAGACTAGTGCGGTTTACATAACGTTTTGGACGTAGATTCACTTACTGGACAATACATTTTGAGAACAATAATATTGGATTTATAGAGCGGCGCAGCGTAACCTATCCAAGCCAAGCCCCGGCGATCCAAGATGGCGCCCTATTCAAATGAATGGTTGTGCTCAGTGGCGCTTTGTGACGGCATGGGGGCTGAAAGATTAGCGGAAGTTGCCTGAAACTCGCAAAGATCTATGGGAAACTCGCCTGTATTTGGGCATCGTCTGGTCCTCTCGGTTCTGCGCAGTGGATGATCTCCCATAATGCGTTGCGCCAAACACGCGTGTGTGGGTCTCACACCAGGTCTCACGCACGTGCACAGAGGGGCTTGGCCGCGCTCTGACCAATCAGAGCAGTTCATCAGAGCGGGAGTTAGAGCGAGAGCCAGACGAGCAGAGTTTGTGGCACTAAAGTGTGGATTTAAACAAAACCGAAGGATTTAAGAAGAAAAAAAGTTCAGGATGACAAGGGACACTAAAATCCCCACAAAATCCGATCTTTATGAAAGCTGTAGGTTCTCTATCAGCTGAGGTCGAGCTGTTTTAATATGCATTGAGTTCTATGGGGAAAATTTCTGGGTAGCCCACGTGAATTTAGTCTGGTTCAGTCTGCAGTACCGCGAGAATCCCCTGAGCACATGAGTTATTCAGCTACAAGCTAGTAATACCCTATCCAGTTAATATAATACATCAATGATCCAAGCGCTGAGTTCCAGATTAAACAGTCCCAAAGATAAGGCAATCACAAAACGGTGGCCAATCACAGAGTTTGTCTTCAGCCCCGCCCCCTCTCACGCCCTCATTTACTCATACTTGTTTTTCTATGGTTTTTACTCAAAGATATTTTTAATTAGCATGGGTTGCGTGAGTGCTCATCTTATGTTGATGTGTTTTGATACCATTTACCTGTGTACTACATTCAATATCGCTTATCAACTGCATAAGATAAGCTAAGAAGATAAGAATTCCTTTATTCGTCCCAGTGGGGAAATTTCGATGTTGCATCGCACATATAGGACAGTAGTAAGAGCACACAGGGATCACACACAATATATACACTATATAGAAATAAGTAGTATCTATGTTTCTTAACTAACATAACTAGCTGTAGATGCTGAAAAAGCTTCAATACCAGTCAAGAAATATATATGTGGTAGTGCAGTTATATACTGTACAGTTAAATAGTGCAGGATAAAAAGTATATAAGTAAAGTGACATTCTGAAGTTGCAGTATTGCACATGATTTAAGAATTTACTTAATTACAGATGAATTAAATTTACAGGCTCAGCAGTTCTTATTGTACAGTCTGACAGCAGCAGGAAGGAAAGACCTACGGAACCTCTCCTTCACACAGCGAGGGTGAATTAGTCTGTCACTGAAACTGCTCTCCAGAGCAGACAGAGTGTCCTGCAGGGGGTGACAGTCATGGTCCTGCATAGATGTTAGTTTGCTCAGGACCCTCCTGTCCCCCACTTGCTGCACTGTGTCCAGGGAACAGCCCAGGACTGAGCTGGACTTCCTGATGACCTTGTCCAGCTTCTTCCTGTCCCTCTCTGTGATGCTGCTCCTCCAGCAGACCACACTGTACAAGATGGCTGATGCCACCACAGTCATAGAAGGTCTTCAGGAGTGGCCCCTGCACTCCAAAAGACCTAAGCCTCCTCAGTAGGTAGAGGCGACTCTGGCCCTTCTTGAAGAGGGCGTCTGTGTTATGAGTCCAGTCCAGTTTGTGGTTAAGATGAACACCCAGGTACTTCTAAGAGTCCACTCTCTCGATGTCCTTTCCCTGGATGTTCACTGGAGCTGGAGCGGCAGAGTGACGTCTGTGGAAATCCACCACCATCTCCTTGGTCTTCCCCCGCGTTGATGAGGAGGTGGTTCCGCTGACACCAGTCCACAAAGTCCTGTATAACTCCTCTGTACTCTGTGTCATCGTCCTCGGAGATGAGTCCGATGATGGCAGAGTCGTCAGAGAACTTCTGTAGAACACAACCATCCGTGTTGTGTCTGAAGTCCGCAGTGTAGAGGGTGAAGAGTAATTGATATATTCACTTGAACAGCAATTATCCCTTTTCTCACTCTCCTCAGCACTTCACACATTAGATAAAAAACTATGATGGTCTTGTTCATAAGTACTCACATTGCTTGAAGGTTTGCGATTCATTTTTGTTTATTATATTACAAAATTCATGAACATTTTGGTAATTAAATAACACATCAGACACACGTACAGATAAGAAACAGAACATTAAGCCTGTTTTGTTGAGCAGATTACGAAAGCCATTCATTTGTTTGCGCAATTCTGTCCAAGATGTTCCCTTGGCCAGCTGTAGATTTTAATAATATGTGCAACCACTGGCGCTGGCAACAAGAATAGTGAAACACAACTATGAACAAGCAACGATAGTCCATGAAGTATGAATCAAATGCTGTCATAATTAATTGACTCATTATGGACACTTAGAATCAGGCATTTCTGAACAGATCGTCTTCAACATGAGTCCGTCAGCTGCACTGTCTCAGGTCTGTAAACAGAGGATGTGTCAAGGCGTCTGCGGCTGTGATCCGGGTGGAAGGATTCAGGTCGAGCAGTCTGTCCAGGAGTTCGAAGGCCTCGTCTGGAACCCTGTCCCAGCCGCATTCGTCCTCAGGGTCCATGGAGACTGTTGCTGATTGTGCTGTATTCAAAGGTGTGTTGTCATATTTGCCATTTGGTTTAACAGGGTCCGCAGACGAGCGGAGAGTGGGCGTTTCATCGGGGATACATGGTTTTCGGGAGGCAATGCTTTTGTTTTGAGGCAGAGGCGTAACATCATCATCAGAGGACAGTCTTCTCCCTCTCAGAGTCTCACACAGCACTCTGAGGTCCTGCCGAGGGAGCTCCCGGCTACAAACTATGGATTTACCTGAAACAAAAAGAATGCATATACTACATTTATGAGACTTAGAAATTATAGCATGGAATGAAATGTTTAATTAGAACTCTCTTTTAATGATACTTTTGCCCACAAAGCATTGCTACCTAAAATAAAATATGTGGGAACGTGCTTTGTCATCACGTAAAAGTTTAATTTGATGTCAGACTAAAAAAAAACCCAATGAACTATAGAGAGCATGTAAATAAAGTCTAGCTAACAACTAGGGATATTTTGTGTGTGAGTGAGATACACTGAAACTATACATTGAGGTATAAAAATACAAACCAAATAACTTAGCGGCCTGGATGGTCTCTCTGGAGCCGCGGATGGTCATGATCTGACTGAGAGCAATGAGGTCATCGCTGGCTTTAAAGAAAGGATACCTGCCACTAAGCAGAGAGAGCAGGATGACCCCGGCAGACCACACGTCTATGGCTGGACAACGCAAAAGACACAACTCTAAGTATTGTACAGCTCCTTCAAATACATACACTTCTCCAGGGTTAAAACTCACCCGTCCCCTGGTTTGGACACTTGGTGAGGACCTCAGGAGCCCTGAAGCCCGGAGTCCCAGCCCGGGGTGCAACCTGTTGCTTCCTGTGTGGGAAAAAAAACATCAAATATAAGGCACACCAATCCACATTCTACCACTCAGAAGAACACAATGCCACAGGTCTCATCTCTATTTATGAAAACACAAACAAAATTGTTAACACTGAGTGACCCTCTAATCATACTGTATGTATGTAAACAATGGTGTGGTTGTAGCTTACCTCGACAAACAAATGTTACAGACACGGTCAGTTTGGTAGCAGCTACATGTAGCACCGATTGGCACAGCTCTCTGAGGCCTCTGATTGGCTCCCTTCAGAGGGGCGGAGCCACGACCAGAGGATGCGTACCTGCGACTGGCAGGGTCTTCTGCTTTTGCCACCTTTACAAACTAGACAGAATAGGAGCTCAGGCCCAGACACATAGTGCTGATTATATAAGGCAGAAGAATTAACTTACTTCAGTTTGGGCAGATAGGGTTTTTGTAGTGGAAGCAACTGATGTACAACTGTTCAGGTTCCTCTCTCCAAACACAGGTCGCTGCACTTTACGCAGACCGGGCAAGTCCTTTAAAAAACAATCAGGAAGAATATGTAGACAGTGACAAAAAAACCATGCAAAGTTTTATGCTTTATGTTGGGCCAGTAAAATGAAGATAGTCACATTAATTAGATAATACATGTTGTTCTTTCTTTTTTAATACAGTGCTGTATGGGCTTCACTTTCATGGCCCTTTGGTTTGCAACATCTTACAATTGAAACCAATAATTTTTGCCTTTATAATTTAGTTTTAACATGTGGGAAAGTCTCAATAGCAATAAAACAAATTTCATTTTGAGATAATTTGTCAGCTCAGAAACTAGACTCTCACTTTTTGTTTGACAAAAACAAGTGTGAATCTTTACAGAAATAGACCCCCAGTGCTTTCAGAAGAACACAACACCTTAGAGTGCTTGGAACGTGCAGTGGAGACCGCAGTGACGGTGCGTCGTTTAGGGGCCACCTTCCTGGAGACAATGGTGGCGGTGGAAGAGGAGACTGGGTGAGAAGTGGGAACAGAAGTGGAGGTAGTGGGGTGAGTGCAGGGGGAGAAAGGTTTAGTCTTTTGACTGAGAGCCGCTGTGCTCCTCTGGGTTTTAGCAGGTGACCCACCACCTCTGAGTGAAGCCTTGACAACCTTCAGCAAGTCGATCTGTGTGTCTGCAGTGCCCTGAGCCAAACCAAAATCCACCAGAGCATATCTAGATTAGAAAAAAAAAAAGAAAGAAAATGCTCCTGATTATGAAAACCTTTACACAATGTCATACGTTTTACCTGTGATAATGAAATCCATCTGACAACATGTATGTAAGAAGAATTTCTATTGCATTTTATATTTAATATTCTTAAATGACTGCTAAATTTATATTGGGTAACTTAGAGCCAAAACAAAATGAATATATAGCTGATAAAACCGCATGAGCCACATTTGAATAAATAGACAGTCCCTTTTGATCATTGCTGCTGTAATTCCATTATGAAAATGTAACATGAACACTCACCACATTCTTCTCCATTACTGTGATGCATTAATGTAACAAATACAATCAAACTCACTCCTTGGTCTTTCTGTTGTAGAGGAAGTTGTTGGGTTTTATGTCTCGATGAATGATTCCAAACTGATGAATGTGTTTCAGAGCTTTCAGCAGGTTGTAGATGTAGAGACGCACCTCCTCAAAGCTGAGCGAGCTGATGATGTCCTACAAAGTAAAAGGAAGATTCAAACCCCGGCACTTGTCAAGAGAAAAAAAAAAAAACTTGTACTCTGCATGTACCACAATAGCTTTATGCTCCAGATAAGGCATGACGATAACAGAGTGGTCTTCTTTTCTGAAACAGTACGTCACTCCCATAACATTTTCTCTGCCTCTGGAAACACCAAGGATTTCAGATCAACTACAGTGCATAATGAAACAACCTAACCATTGTCTGACCTACATTAGCAATAAAATGTATGTGAACAATTGTTTTAGTAACTCTAAGCCTATTCTGATAAAACCTTATAAGATATCGCTACTACGTATAATATTCAAAATACAAATATACAAGTCTTGTTTTCTAGATTAATATTATCTGTACAATAATTTAAAAAATAAAACGCTTTTGTTTTGCTTGTCACAGAATATGTCTTACAATTGATAATAAATGTTGACGTACTAACCCAGCCACAGTGAGGCACTGGAGCTCTGCAGCAATCCGCACGGGGTGGCTTGTGGGAATCAGGTGTTTGAGAGCAAATTTCTGTAGACTCCCATCATGCATCTGGGCCTCACCCAAGAAAACAGAGCTGAAAGTCCCTGTGCACAAGTTACAAGTTTAAATTCGTGTAATTCAACTCTGGGACCGCTCGCTTGACCACTAAAGTTACACACCTTCTCCAATTTTGTCAATGATACGGAACACTTTTCCGATTTGAGGAACAGCTTTGTAGAGGAGCTCAATATCCGCCTCCACATCCCCTGAAGGAAATATTAAATGAGTCCACAATCTAATACAATCAGAATACTGTTCACATGTAACATTCATTATGGATTCACCTGAAACTCTGCTCCTGCTCCTGTGTGCTCGCTCAGACCTTTTGTTGTTGAGACACTCTTCTGCACTTACATCTTCGTCAACAGGAACCAGCTCCATCTCTGTTACTTGCCACTGTCGCCGCAATGATAGATACAGATATTGTGTTGATAATAACTAGGCACCACACTGCTTTGAAGTTAAAGCAAATCGGTGTTCTTTCTTAATGACAACACTGTAAACATGACATCTACCGCTTTGGTCGAGTTCCCAAAGTGCAAACGTTGTGGAATAAACCACTTAGAAGCGCGTCCGTAAACAGCCTCACATTTGCTTTACCTTGTGGATTGTGAAAAGTGTCGTTTAAAAGGAATAAAAGGCTCTAAAGTCAAAGAAAACTTGAGGAGAGAAAACTTAAGTTCCGCGAACAACAAATCGCGCGCTCAAAATGTCATCGCGAGATTTCCGTTGAAGCGGCGCGACCACGGGACTATGTTTTGGCTTCTCTGGTTCTTTCTAATATTTACAGTCTATGGTACTTTCACGGATCTTCTATACTATAGGGTCCTTTAAATTATAGTTCCTCATGAATGTTAGAATGAAGTTGTAAACAATACAATCTGCACATACAAATATATTGAAAATACGCAATATGCTAAACTACAGTAGATTTATTTCATGTGATGTTTCGATTAATTTCTTTTTTTCATGAGTTAATTGTGGCAAATTAAGATTAGGTTGAAATGGAATAAAATAATTTTGGACCGAAATCTAACTGGTACTTCGTTCGTCAGGTTGACCCTTGAACAAAAAATATTTATATTCCACTAAACTTCCCACATTGCCCCACTATTACAGACATTTCACCCGTCGATGTACAAAATGTTGTTTTATAATACAACACTATATCCATGTTTCCCAATTTTATTCATCTTTTCCAAAATATCTCTAGAACAAAATTCCTACTGTTTTGAAGGCATCGCCCCTGCTATTGTAGAAGGGGAAAGAGTTTCCGCATTGAACCAGGATCATGCTCTTATGAGAAGGATCTGTCATGGAGCTGGCGTTTGTTTACGTCCTCTGGGCTTTATGTCTATGCAGGAGTTCAGCTGATGTCTCCAAATTAAAATTTAAACGTGCTTTAAATCCTGTGCGACTTTTCAATGAGGAGGAGCTGAGGAAATACGACGGGAGCCAGGTAGATGCAGATACAAGCCCAGTCTAGCAAACAATAATAAGCTGATAATTCATTTCATCAACTTTTATGGTCATCTGCATTTACTAAAGATCATATAATCTTTATTGTTCTTAGGAAGACCTGCCTATTTATATGGCAGTTAATGGAGTGGTGTTTGATGTCACTAAAGGAAAAGGTAATTAATTTATCATAATCAGTAATACAAGATTTTGTTTAGATATTTTTTCAGGTTCAAACAAAGTCTTGTACTCTGAATACTAGAACATTGTCTCATGTATTTGTATAATATTACCTTCATGAGATAAAAATACAAACTTTTGCATTTTTAGTTTTTAAATGGTAAACCACAGCCAAAGCCTCTGAATCCTAAACTGCCATAATGTATTACTTTGATTTAGTAAAGTAAGTAATTTTTATTTATATACCACCTTTTCACTGCAGATCTGAGTCTCAAAGCAGTTTACAATTGTTTATTTTTGGGCATTTGTCTCTCACTCCACACAAAGATGGGAACAAGGTCGCCAGTACAGGAGGCGCATGACAGAACTATTGTACTTATTTTTAGTGGTAGGGGTAACCTACACAGACACAGGTAGAACATGCAAACTCCACTCAGGAAGGCCCTGGTCCGACCGGGATTTGAACCCAGGACCTTCTTGCTGAGAGGCGAGCATGCTACCCACTCAGCCACCGTGCCGCCCTGTAAAGCAACTGAAAAAATATCATTAGTACATGGCAGGTACACTGGGTTTATTTTTCTTTCTTATGTTTTAATATGTAACAATCATTGGCTTTCAGAGTTTTATGGAAAGGATGCTCCGTACAATGCTTTGGTTGGAAAGGACTCGTCTCGAGCTGTGGCCAAAATGTCCCTGGAACCAGAAGACCTCACATCAGATACTGTGAGTGGAATAAATGTGACTAACTGGTTTTAGCGGCCGTGAAATCATATAAGCCGCTTCAGAAGGTCAGCTGCTGTTTCCTCAGCAGCTGACCGCCAGAAGCTATAAAATAAATTTTATTTTGTAATTTGTGTTTTCAACATGTCTTTTGGTGTTTATAATAGAGTATTTCATTCATTATTTAGATTAATCTGAATGGATAGGTATACATTTAAATTCAAAGATGCACATTACCATTACACTTTTAAAGTTTTTATCTTTAAAAGGTGATTACAGCATTATAGTCAAACAATTTGCATACATATGCAAGAGACAAGATAAATAAATGACTGAAGATGCAAATAGATGACCGAAAACAAACACATGCTGTAAATATTATTCACACTCATTTTTACTACAGCATTATATTCCATATTTCTGTTCTTTTTCATGTCCTCAGACTGGTCTAACCGATGAACAGTTGGAGAGTTTGGAAAGTACTTTTGAATTAACTTATAAAACCAAGTATCGCATCGTGGGCTACACTGCCTCCCGGATCCTGAAGGAAGACTTCAGACCTGAGGACCAGCCCAACTTTTGGAACAAAGATGAGTTTTGATCAAATAGGACAATAGCAATATGACTGAAAAATACTATTTTTTGTAACATGTGTTTCTCAAATGAAGTTTAAATTCTGTGCTTAAAGCTCTATGACTTTAATAGACTTTTGTAATGTCTGTGAATCATTTGAACCATGTTAGAGAGACCTCTAGTGGTATGTCGGTCAGTCTGTAGTGCCAGCTGCCTCATATAATGGCACTGTATAGACACAAAAGTTTCTGGAAATAGTAATACAAGCTATTGTAAGAAAATAGCTATATAAATAATAGTCATCTATAATAATCATTGATAAAGTCGATACGAAATGAATATTTTGTCATAATCCAATATATACAGTATATATTGAAATAAATATGTTCTAGAGCACCGCTGCCCCCTTTTTGATGAAGAACATGAGACGAAATTTTTTTTTTAAGAGAATAGTTTCCTGTTTTTCCATTAAAATTGAAATACATAATATACAATTATACATGATTTACGTGATTAAAAACGGTATTTTTTGTTGTAAGTCCAATTACATTTTTATATTTAATATAAATCTTCGTGGCTTGCCGTGTCTCTGATGCCCCCCATCTGGCCCAGACCCCACTTTGGGAAGCTCTGTGATAAAGCCTGTACCTAAAAACAACAGATATTTTGTCAATTTTAGTCCATAACACTGGATTGTAGGCTTCGAATGTACTCCTCTGGATAAATAAATGTGTTTATGGCAGTAATAGGGATCTTCTCTTGAGCTCATTTGTCCGCTTCTTTGACCAATGGATAAAACATTTCTACTAGAGGGCAAACATTGTCCAGGCGTTTGAAACGGTTTGAGTGTATTTGAGCCTGCCTGAGTATGCCTTACTCATTAGTCATCACTTTCTCTAGAAAAGGTGATCCTACTTTCGGGGTCATAAACCCTATAAAGCTATTCAATGTTAAAGGTACTCAGCTTTTTGACTATATTTTAGAATTTAGAATTATAATGATGTATTATATACAAACATGTATGCAACAGCATATAATTAATTAATAAATACTTAAATATTATCTTTAAATTCTTTTGTAGATTAGACAAATGTCTTCATTTCAGTTTGTGCATAATATGAATAGACCAAAATAGTCAGGTAGATATTGTCAGGTACACAACAATGAAACCACAGCATCTCCATGGACAGACATCACTTTTTGCAAAAAACAGTGACTGCAATAAATCCAGTTAAAGTGCGTCGCTTGAAAATGATCATTATATTTAGTTATTTTAGTGAATTAAACAATAATTTACTAGTATGTACTTTCATATACTGCAAATATGTTTTTTCCCCATTTGGAGCTTTGGATGGATATACATGACTGATCCCAAAGAAAACCAGTCTGTATTCATATTTACTTGTTTTTCTATTGTGATTTCAACCTGTGGGCTCCAACAGTGCTTCATACTGGCCTTACCCAGTGCTCTTTATAGCCTCCTCACTGCGTCCAAAGTCCACTCTGTCTTTGGGTGTAGCCGTCTCTTCCCTACACCATTAGCACAAACACCCACAGCTTTTCCTGTGTAGTGTGACCTCAGCTGGGTAAACGTCACGGGGGGTGATCCAGTCCGCTCGGTTCAAAGGACAGAGCAGCCCTGCCCTTGGGATTGACAGATTGTGCTGGAGTTTCTTTATCAGGTGGAGTTTGTGCTGGGAGTCGACCACTGCAGTCTCCGTCTCAGTCTGAACACTTTTCTTCACCTGTCGATCTCCTCCAACCAACATCAAGATGCCAAAAACGGTCAGTACAGCTTTGCAAGTCAGGTTAAATAACTTATGAATAAAGAATGGTTTTTTTCCCTTCCCTGAGTTGCTTTGAGCCAGCGTGTATGAACTGTGTCTGTATCTATGTTTGTGGTTTGCCCATTGCGTGTTGTTTGTCTCCGTCATTTGCGTGTAGTGTACACCCAACAGAATTTGTTACATTATAAATACCCCAATGCTTTTAGGGTTTTTATACTTTCCCACATTTTTCACACAACATGGACAGTGATTTTCCACAATACTATATCTCAAATCTAACTCAACATAAACATGAAATCATTTGTGACTATTGCTGTTTGATATGGGTTTTTTATGTTTTTATACATTCTTCAGTAACATAGAAGTAGCATTTCAATATTTTTTGGTTTATTTCCAAGCATTCTCGCAGGTCGTAACCTAAATTTTATTCATTAACCCACAGTAGAGTTTGACCTATGTGGCGCACATTCTTGACAGTAAAGTGCAACTAAAATGCTTCTCTTCTTTCTCAAAGCAAACCAACAAATCCAAAATACCGATTTATGAATCTTCCCGTAAAGCAACACTGTGTAACATTTTTTTGGGGTTACATCATCAAATGACGCACCCCAACAGTCAAATAAGTAACTAGTTATTCAATATTACACCCACCGGCAATTTACAATGATCCAAGTTACATGTGGCCTTGTTTCTCAAATGCATAATTTGTTTTCAGGTAGTTCGAGACTGTGGTTTTGGGTCAATGAAAGAACATTCCCCATGAACTACTGTATTTAGAACTTAACTTTCTGAACACAAATGTGAATAGCATCGATGAGTAATAATATTCTGCACTTGTCAGCTTTTGTTTTATCTCATGATACTGTACGTACTCTGAGGTGTTCTCAAGAGGCCACAATGACGTCAGTGCTAAACCAGCCACCGTTATTTAACTAAGATAAACTGTAGAATGTCACGCGTTGTGAAAATCTTAGCTTTATGATGCAAAAGTACACAACTGGAAATAATTGTTTTACTTGAGCTGTGGTATAATCTGGGTACGTTCCCCATTACGACCTCAAGGGGCAAATGGAATTGAAGGGTCTCTATTTATTTATTGCTTTTTACTGTTAGCATTATTGTTATCTATTAAATCTTCTGTTGGTGAATGACCTAATGACCATTATTTAGCAGCTAGGGAAGTGAATTTAGTGATTTAGTGCTTATTTTTCTATTCTATTCTATTCACTGAGGGAAAAGTTGAGTCCAAGCCACAGTCTGCAGAGCTGTACAAAAACACAAATTATTGTCAAATCTCAATGGGTTTAGCCTCCAATAAATGTTGTACCAGTTATGAGGTACAAAAAGCACCAATTTAACTACATTAAAAGTGAATGTGTTTGTTTGCAAAAATAACATGCCATTTTCCACCATTCTTTTATTTCGTCATATTAAGGAGGCACTTGCTCTAATATTTATTTCATAACATTAGAGCATTATATTTATAGGGGAAATCCGATCAGTTAAAACCTATATATTAGCAGTTGTAATTGTATTATAGGAAGCAAAATGCAGTGACTTGCTTTGCTTTTGTCAATTTTGCCATTTTTCTGCCACTTTGAGAGATGTTTCCTTCAGAAATAGTAGCTCCTGTGGTAATACTTTAAAATCATGTTCACAAAATTGCTTTGTGTGCACCCAGGAAGTCACATCAGAACATGAATCATCTGTGGATAACTTGTCAGTGCTAAGCTAATTATCTATGTTAAGTCTAGTTGAAGTCGAGAATCATCAGTGGAAACAGCAGGTCTGCTTTTGGTTGCTTAAGTTTATTAGTTTATCTTTATGACACCTGGGGCGTGATCTTCGCAAATAAAAAATTTTGTAGCATCACTTATGACAACATAAGTGTCATGTGGTTATATATATTCATTTTCATAACCTGTTCTGGATTTTCCTTTACCATTTTAATGTTAAAAGATCTCATGTTTCTCAACATATTATTGCTGATAAAACCAAACAACCTGCGCTCAACCCAATGATAGGGAGTGGTTTCTGAAATCTATGGTCAAAAACAAACTGGACAAAACTGTTTAAAATCAAATAAATTATGAACATGTCTGGATTATACTGGACTAGGGATTAGAACGGGACCAAATCCACATAAAACTGCTCTCATACACGTGTGAACTCACATGTGGAGCCCAAAGACAATTGAAATAAAGTCAATCTTCACTACAGTATTTAGATGAAAATAAACAGGGAGTACATGTATATTTTGAGTACACATGACGGTGCTTTTTTCAGTGGTTACTGAGCATCAGAAAAAGTACTCCATGTTGTGAGTTTAATTACTGTGAGGACCTTGCAGCTCCTTGAATGAAAGTCCAAGGTCTAAGAGATAGTGAGCAATTATAGTTTATTGTCCAACCACTTAAACCTCACTTTAATTGTGTTTAGTGGTATTGTTTTTTGAGCAGATGTAATGATCAAATACATATTAAACAAATTCATTAGGGAAAGTATTTGTTTTGGAAGTGTGGTTTACAGAAATATGGTTGTGTGCAGGTCAATGTTCGCGTCACTACGATGGACGCGGAGCTGGAGTTCTCCTTTCACCCAAACACGACGGGGAAGCAGCTGTTTGACCAGGTCTGAACCTGCAGCTATACCAACATATATTATATATACATATATTATGGATTAACACAATTTAATGTACACATAGTTTCACCTTCTGTACATCATTCATAGTACACACTGTCATTCTGTCACTTTTTCAAACCCTTTTTTTTCTTTCAGAAAGCTTTTCTCGTTTGCACATTAAACAGACTGAGTAAATCTGTATATATTTATATTCTTAAATAGGATTTTAAAAATGTTATAAGTTCAGTGAAAAGGTCCTTCAGACTTCAATCCAATTGAAATTGAGTTGGTTCTTTTCTCATATCGCAAACACTGCTGATGATGTGATATTCTTGATATATTCCTGTAAATAAATGTTGCAATTTTAAATGCCAAGTTAATATTGTCTGTTATGTTCTATGATACGAACAGTCTCATTATCAGCTGTAGGATTTCACTCTGAACAGAGATGAAAAGAATTCTGACATATAAGTTACTCATGTAACAATTGTAATTATTATTACTTGCCCAGTTTATGTAGACTGTTTTTTTCAATGATATTTTTTTCTTTTATTGTTTACAGGTTTCCAGAACCATTGGCCTGCGTGAGATCTGGTATTTTGGTTTGCAGTTTGTGGACAGCAAAGGGTTCATCACATGGCTCAATGCAGACAAGAAGGTACAATGCCCTCGTGTGCATGAGTGAGAATTAGAAAAGCCAATATTTGACCGTTTGACATTCTGTTGGTTTCCCCAATTGCACACGTTTTGCAGAAGTTAAGGCTATAAGAGCCTTTGCTGTTGAACTCTGTCCTATTTGACCAACTTATATTCTGTATAGATATATCAAAATGCATTTAAAAATGTTTAACAAACAAATAACTTAACAATAATAATTGTAATTGCATTTTTCTTCTAGGTGATGGCCCAGGACATCCGGAGGGAGACACCGCTGCAGTTCAAACTCAGAGTCAAGTTCTTCCCAGAGGACGTGTCTGAGGAGCTGATCCAGGACGTGACGCGCCGCCTCTTCTTCCTCCAGGTGAAGGAGGACATTCTGTCAGAGGACATCTACTGCCCTCCAGAGACCGCCGTGCTGCTCGCCTCATACGCTGTGCAGGCCAAGTTTGGAGAGTACGACAAGTCTTCACACCAGACCGGATATTTGACCAACGACCGCCTGCTGCCCAAAAGGTGAAAAGTCCTGTTATCTGTTATCACTAGTAGGGCTCGGTATCTTTTAGTGGAGACCAGGGCAAAGTTAGGCCCGGGGTCACATACAGCCTGATTCATGTGACGCTAGGACCTTTCCTCCTCTGCAAACTGTATACGGTCTCCCCCATACCTGCTACAATGACATACCTCATAATAGACAACATAAAGTTCCTCCTCCTCACCTACAAGTCCTTCCATAACCTGGCCCCGCCCTACCTTACTGAGCTCCTACAGCAGCACCAACCCACCCGCCGCCTTCGCTCAGCCAATTCCAACCTCCTCACCCCCATCACCCGCACTAACCGCCGAACCTTGGGGGACAGAGCTTTTGCTATGCCGCCCCAACCCTCTGGAACTCACTCCCACTGCCCATTAGAAACTCTGACTCACTATCAAACTTTAAATCAGTACTCAAAACCCATCTTTTCAAACAAGCTTTTCCATAAACCCCTTTTATTATTGTATTCTACTCCCCATGTGAAGCGTCTTTGAGTGTCCAAAAAAGCGCTATACAAGTTTGATGTATTATTATTATTATTATTATACCTCATAATAATTAACCAAAAACTTTAATCTGTACATAATACTTTTTTAGCTTTAATCCAGCTTTGGCTCAATCCAAGCAAGAATTTAAACCCAATGGAAAGTAAAAACTTTATTTTATATTTAATCAAAGTTCTTCAAAGTACCTCCTATATCGTAAAAGGTTATTAGCCACAACTGCAAAAGATGAGCAGATAACATTGAATATCTTCTCTTCTGTAAATATTTTTTGTTATGGAGTACATACATTTTTAACTGAAGTAGCTTACACTCAAATATATTGTTCCAAATAAAATAAAATGGTAACAACAAGAAAACAAGTCCGGCCCTCCGCATTTTACCAATATTTCAATGTGGCCGTAAAGAGAAAATATTTGCCCCTACTCTAGTTTAAAGTTTGATATATGATATATTTGAAAACAATTCAACACTATTTTGAAAACAAATGACGTCTTTTGGCCTCTTTCATAAAGCGCTACCCAAAAAATCTAAATATATGTATTTTTTAGCATCCTTAATTACTGTGGCAATGGACTGAATAATTAATTGATGGATGTAAATTACTCAAGAGCAACAATACTAGAATCAATGCAGGACATTAAGTCAACCAATACCCTCACTTTTTGTTCTTGGATTAACCAGAAGGGATGTCATTTTTTATTGTTTTGGTCTGTTAATTTTACCATAATTATTTCTACTGCCCAATGCCACAACTGGAGAAATGATTTGAATTATTATTTGAAATATTTAAATGCAAGACCTGCTGTTTTGTGAATAAAAATCTATTTAATGAATCCTCTGTCTCCACTTCATGCTACCAAATATTTAATTAATTGAAAGTACAGTAATAGCAATCTCATAACTTTATAAATAACTTTAAAACAATAGATAATAATAATAAATAGTTGAGAAAAATGGATGCGCAAGGTCTTGTTATTATGCCGTCCTTTGTTTGAAACAGGTGTGTTAACTGTGCAAATAGAAAGTATGATCTCAGAGTCTGAAGAATGAGCGCCTCGGGATATTGTACGTTTAGCTGAAGGAGCACACGGATCAATATTTAACCACAGATCAGGGCAAAACCACTCGAGTAAGTTTTACAAGAAGCTTGCTGCCTTTCTCATGTGTCACCTCCTGTTGCTTTGATAACATTTTACAGAAGCATGAGTAAGACAGTAATGAGTAAACTATTATTATGTCTGTGTAAGGTGTCCAAAAAGCTGTAGTATAGGTTTTATGAATTAGTGTTATTAATTTTATAGAATATTGAATGGAACCACATAAATGAAGTCGCAAGTTGTGTTAAATTGTTTCTTTCCGCTGTTCAAAACGCTACAACCTTTTTGATTTATTTCTCTATTTGTGATTTCTTTCTGGTTGTAAGTGTCCATAACCTAATCGAGGTTTTGCGTTTCTTGATTTCCCTTTGTAGAGTCCTGAACCAACACAAACTGTCCAAAGAGCAGTGGGAGGAAAGGATCCACACTTGGCACGTGGAGCACCGATACATGCTCAAGTAAGTCCAGCACACACAAGGAGTCCACTGCTCTTATTACACTGAGAGACTTCAAACGGGGAAAGCACTGTGGTGAGACCAGCAATGTTGCAAAGATTAGAGAAGGGAAAGAGTTTCTTTCTTTTATCATGTTGAAAATGAAGGATTCATTGGGGAGAGTAGAGTTGTTGATACATTTGAGTGTGATAATGAAAATCCGTGTTCTGTCCAGTGTTGTCTAGATTCACTGTATTTTAATCTACTCATGAGGGTTAGTCTGATTTTATGACTCCCATGTGGAATGATGGGCTTTAGAAAACATGTGGGACCAACATAAAGCATCTTTACTATATTTCTTTATTGCCGTTGCTGTAATATACTCTTGTTTAATTGTTATGAAATATTTTTAACAGGGAGGAGTCCATGATTGAGTATCTGAAAATTGCTCAGGATCTGGAGATGTATGGAGTGAATTATTTTGAGATCAAGAACAAAAAAGGCACCGACTTGTGGCTGGGAGTGGACGCTCTGGGACTGAACATCTACGAGAAGGAGGACAGGTAAAAATGAACTTGTAATATCACTTTCAAATGTTACTGTAAATGTAAATTGTAAAGCGCTGTACGGGTCCGTGAAATGCTCTATACAAAAAGTTACTTACATACTTACATAATTTCACAAAACTTCACAAAAATTTACTATTACTATGAACTTTCCTCGATCTGCAGGAAGCAAGTGTAGTTTATGGACATATTGACTCAGGAGTAGACAGAGAGGTCAATACCACAGTCAATAACCTGTATTGAACTCTGCATAGATAACCGCAGAGCTTGGATCAGCAAACGCGGTGTGTTTTGTTTGACGTTAATGAACAAATAGAGTTCTGTTGGAGTCCTGGATGAAATGAAAGGCTGAGAATTATCAGTTGCATTATGTGTATCTGTCTTCTTTGTCAGACTGACTCCAAAGATCGGATTTCCCTGGAGTGAAATCAGAAACATTTCCTTCAACGATAAGAAGTTTGTGATCAAGCCTATCGACAAGAAAGCCCCAGTAAGTTACCGACTACTCAAAATAGAAGGTGTTAATTATGTAAAGTATATACTACTTGGCCTGATTTCAATTACGTTCATGTTTTTGCATTGCAGGACTTTGTTTTCTATGCTCCTCGTTTGAGAGTGAACAAGAGAATCCTGCAGCTGTGTATGGGGAACCATGAGCTTTACATGCGCCGCCGTAAAACTGACACCATCGAAGTGCAGCAGATGAAGGCCCAGGCCAAAGAAGAGCGTCTGCAGAGGAAGATGGAGAGGTCAGGCACAACGCACAGGAAACTATCAGAGAATCAAACAGTTCCAACACAGGAAGTGCAATAATAACAAAGACATAGAAGTCATTGGTCCATGGGGGGCATAAATGCTCATAAATGTCCTGTTTGAAGTATGTGTTGTCATTTCATAAAGCTTGTGGTTCCAGAGTAAAACAAACTATAGGGCCAGATTAAACCTGGGATACTTGATTTTGAAAATAGTGAAAGGTGGGTGGGTGGCGACAGTGGCTCAGTTGGTAGAGCATTGGCCTTTGGGCCTGAAGGTCGTGGGTTCAAGCCCACCGTAAGACCCACTTCACGACTCCCACTGATGTCTGCTGTCGTTGTGTCCTTGGGCAAGAGACTTAACCCCACTTTGCCCAAAGCCCCAACTGAAAGATCTCAGCTCCTGTGGACTCACCACCTGCAGGAGCATCAGTGAGGGGCTGGTGCTCTGTGTACTGGGTGCAGCTCCGACTGCCACCCCCCGACCCAGAAATGGATTAAGGGGAAGATAATGGATGGATGGATGGATGAAAGGTGGACGGTAGATATTAAAGTTGGGGTACCTAACTTTCTAAACGCAAATAAAAAACACAAAAAACTTCTGGTATGTTATAAACTTCATCGAACTAGTTCTCACTGCAAACAGTTACAGTATATCACTAGTTTTCAAATACATATATTTTGTGACTCACAAGGCACTATCTTACAATATTCAAAACAAGTTCTCTGATCATTTGAAGACAGATTGTTGTGGTCTTATTTGTTCGTAACATTTTACTTTACAAGATGGTTGGGTCAAACGACATGATTTTTTTTGGAATATAAAGTTTAGAGCCTAATGAACCCCAGCTTTAAAATCCATATAATCTGTTCCAGGGGGCGACAGTAGCTCAGTTGGTAGAGCATTGGCCTTTGGGCCTGAAGGTCGTGGGTTCGAGCCCACCGTAAGACCTACTTCACGACTCCCACTGATGACTGCTGCCGTTGTGTCCTTGGGCAAGACACTTAACCCCACTTTGCCCAAAGCCCCAACTGAAAGATCTCAGCTCCTGTGGACTCACCACCTGCAGGAGGATCAGTGAGGGGCTGGTGCTCTGTGTACTGGGTGCAGCTCTGACTGCCACCCCCCCGACCCAGAAATGGGTTAAGGGGAAGAAAATGGATGGATGGATGGATGGATGGATGGATGGATAATCTGTTCCAATATGTTTGCAGTACGTTTATTCCACTGTGTTGCTTGTTGCAGGGATCAGCTGGAGAGTGAGAAGAAGAGGAGGTCGGACATGGAGAGGGAGAAGGAGGACATGGAGAGGGAGAAACGGGAGCTGATGCAGAGGCTGCAAGAGTACGAGGAAACCACCCGCAGAGCTGAAAGAGGTCTATTTTTTACACTTCAGACTTAGCACCCGCTACTGATCCTTAGAACTCGATTTCAGAAGCTACATCAAACAAGTGGGCTTTAAAACATGCACATTTTGCCCAAAAAGTATATTCTTAAGCTTTTCAATACATGGCAAACATTTTCCTTGGATTTGGAGTTTTTAGATGTGTGGGGTATTGTGATGGTTTTGTTTTGGACAGATGTCCCTGAACAAACAAGCAAAACTCGACTGCCGTTGCATAACATGACCCTGGCTGCGTCCCGAGTCTTCTCATACAACACTTCTTCCTCATCTGATTTTCTCTTATTCTATATGTTTAAATACTTTTTATACCTATAATTAGTTTAGATTTATAGGTCATTTATCATTGAGCCCAATAATGTATTGTGTTTAGCTGTTACTATTCATGTTTTTTGTTGTTAACAAGTCAATGTCTATTGACTAGTAGTAAGTTATAATATGTTGTTTTGAACTTGAATTAACTTGAATCATATAGCCACTTTTGTGTGGTCAGTGTTCTTGACTCGTCTCGTGTCTCTCAGAGCTGCAGGAGCAGTTGGATCGGGCCGCGCGTCTGGAGGAGGAACGTCGGAGGGTGCAGGAGGATGCTGCACGGCTGGAGGCTGAGCGCATGGAGGCCATCATGGCCAAAGAAGAGCTGGCACGACAGGCGGAGGACCAGCTCAAGAACCAGGAGCATCTGGTGAGTCCAAAGTGAAGAGCAAGAAAATATGACTGGTGATGATGGTGATGACTATCATTTGATAATCTGCCAGTTGGATGTGTTTTATTTGTATTCAACTGCTTAAAAACATACATAACTGTATGCAACTTAAACAAACTTAAACATCAGGGTGATTTGTTTCTTGTATGAATGCCTTTTTCTAGTAGAAGATTCTTCATCTACCCTATGTGTGAATATTATGGCTTTAATTTGAACATATTTATCTATGTTCTGTTTATTAAATGGTATTTTTGAAGGGAAAGTCAAAATATCCCGCTGATGACAAGCAGTTTGGGAAGCAGTGCAGCTTTAAGCAACCATTCCTAACCCAAAGCAAATAAGTTTTTTCACTCTAAAGGTCATGGAGTGATGTCACTCTCGTATGGAATAGCAGTAGCATAATTACAGTTTTTCTGTTCAGGGAATGAGATACATGCATTAGAAATTCAGAAAAAAGATTTTAAACATGACATTTTAATTAGTCCATTTTGTAATACACCTACCAAACCATCTCTACAAAATATGATAAGACAGAATGTTGTGATTTCATGTGAAACTCGCCAATTGTTCAGAGTCTAATGTCCTGTCTGCTCATTCATGAAACAGGACGACGAAGAGCAGGTGTCCTCTGTCATACTTGTACTTTACACGGTGTGCTTTTCCCTCAGGCGGCTGAGCTGGCCGAATACGAAGCCAAAATCGCTGTTCTGGAGGAGGCAAAGAGAGTCAAAGAGGAGGAGGCAGACACATGGCACAGCAAGGTCAGTGTGGCAAAGGCAACGGTGGAAATACTATCACGCACACAGAGGACAGAACTATAATAACTTAAAAAGCTTAAGAACCTAAATTATACAGTTTTATAAAAGTGACATTTTGTGAACAAATCAAACCACATCATCCTGTTTTTACTTGTAAGAAAGCCTAGCGAGTCACTATTACGCTTTGGGCTGAGAGCTGAATGAATGAGTGAAGGCGGTCTCTCTTTAAAAATGTATATTACATTACATTGAGTTTATTGTATAGGTTTTGTTTGTGGTTTGATAGGTACCGCAGCTTTAAATATTTTATCAGGACAAATTCACACAAATGCCTTGAACCTGTCACTGAGTCAGTGGTTTTTTCAATTACAAGGATCTCTTAATCATGATCTTTCTGTGTGACAACTGCAAAAATTAGAAGATATGGAGCAACATGACTGAAGATACTGGCATCTACTTTGATTTTCAAGCCCAATCTGACTCTCAATTTACATGTATAAAACTTTTAAAATTACGTTTTGTGAATACAGTTGGGTTTGGTATATACAAATATTTTTCACACCCCCTTTTTAGTCCACTAATCAGTCAACACGCCATAAGTTTAGTCGACCAAGAATTTCTCTAGTCAATCACTGCTCTAGTAAATTATCCTTTTTGTATTTAGCGGAAAACAGTGTGTAAGTCTGCTCTGCCTGCGTGTTGGATATTTTAGGCCAAAGAGGTGGAAGAAAACCTTCTCCGCACCAAGGAGGAGCTGCAGACCGTACGGACGTCCAACTCTTCTTCTTCAGACAGCGAGAGTGACCACGAGCACAGCGAGGAGAACAGCACCTACAGCGCCGAGCTGCACCAACATGAAATCAATGATCACCGCGAGGAGGAGGAGCGGCTGACCGAGGCAGAGAAGAACCAGCGGCTGCAGAAACAGCTGGAGGTAAACCACAGAAGAAAGGTTTATTAATATCATAAATAAACCGCTCTAAAAATAAACACAAGATGTCGATACAGTGTTTTAATGAGGAAAGTATTTTGTATATGGTCTGCTCACTCACAGCCTGTTCTGTGGCATAAACTGCAAATAATAGAAAGCAGATTGTTGTAAATTTCAATAGTTTCTATTCTCTACATCTGAAATAGTAAGGCAAAGCAAGTTTATTTATATAGCACAATTCATACACAAGGCAATTCAAAGTGCTGAACAAAATAAGAAAGCATTAAAATCATAAATAATCACAGAACATTAAAAAGAAAGCTAAACATATAAAATCCCTCAGTTGTATGCACAGCTAAACAGAACTGTCTTTAACCTGGTTTTAAACATTGTCATTGGGGAGGCCTGTCTCACATCTTCAGGAAGACTGCTCCAGATTTTAGCAGCATGAATCTGAAAAGCAGCCTCCCCATGTTTAGTTCTGACTCTGGGCACTAACAGGAGTCCAGTCCCTGTGCTCCTCAGAGTCCGGGCTGGTTCATATGGGACTAACATGTCACTAATATATTTTAGTGCAAGGCCATGGAGAGACACAAACAGAGCTGTTTTAAAGTCTATTCTCTGAGCCACAGGAAGCCAGTGCAGAGACCTGAGGACTGGACTAATGTGGTCGTACTTCCTGGTTCTAGTCAGGACTCGAGCTGCTGCATTTTGAATGTACTGCAGCTGCTTTACAGCCTGTTTGGACAGACCTGTGAGCAGGCCATTGCAGTAGTCTAACCTACTGGAGAAAAATGCATGGATAAGAATCTCCAAGTCTGCTTTAGACACTATGTTTTTAATCCTGATAATTTTTTTAGGTGGTAAAAAAAGCATCCACTCACTGATCTGTTGCCTGCAGTGAAGGACTGAGTACATCGGTCCGCTGCAGTCAGTGAGACAAAGATCTGAGTGTGGTTTCCGTAGTTGTGATAGGACACATTTTTACTGCGTATTAACTGTCCATCCATCCATCCATTTTCTACCCTTTAATCCATTTCTGGGTCAGGGGGGTGGCAATCAGAGATGCCACCCAAGTCTCATAGCACCAGCCCCTCACTGACCCTCTGCAGGTGGTGAGTCCACAGGAGGGACGTATTAACTGTACATGTAAAAATGTGTTCAATCCCAATCCTATCATATTAACTGTACATCTCTACATGCTACCTAACAGCAGCATGTAGAGATGTAGAGAAGGAATTGATCATGCTAAATGTATTTTTTTTTTAATAATAAGTTATTATTGTTGAGTCCTTGGGCAAGACCACCTTACCTACGTGAACATACCTACGTGATAATGAGTGGACTTTGAGAGGCTTTTTAAGCTTTTAGGCTCAATACAAGTGTGAGATTTGCTCATTCACAAGTGGCTTCCTATTTCCCACAAAACCTCTGAACCACCAACAGCAAATTATAACAAGCAAACAGTCTGCTTATAAACACACTCTGTTGATAAAATATAGGAACTCCCAACACTAAAGGCTTTACCAAGACTTGGATTAATGCTCAAGTTTTTCTTCAAGCTTTTAATTTGTGTACATGACGTGGTTTGGTTCAAGTGTGGCTTTGGGAAGTGCTGTTTTTTAAATTCACAGAAAGTGTCTCTAGATGTAGAAGTGAAAGTGAGTAGTTGCAAGACGGTGTTGACAATGGCGTCTAGAAATGTGATTACTACCCACATACAAAGTTGCGAGGAAATTGCTCCAAACTGTTCAAAATGGCTTTAGTTCGGTGTCGGCTTTCTGCCAATACTGATTCAGATCGTCCTATGATATATGAAAGCTTATCTTGTGACCACTTAGCATGACAAAGGCCAATATTTAAAACTTAGAAACTTTAAATAATGTTCAAAAGTCCACTTACTGTAATTCAACTTACAATGTGAAACTAATTTATGACAAACTGATTGCATGCAAAGTTATAATGATGATAATTCGCTCACAGCTTGAAAACATTTCAGAAAATTTTAATATTTTGAATGTGGGCTGTCCCTTTGAATTTAATAAGTCTACATCATAAAGTGGATTCATATTTTTTAAATTGATTTCTAGAAATAAATCCACTTCTGAACAATATCAAGACGAGATAAGATAAGATAGACTTTATTGATCTCACACTGGAGAAATGTACATGTCAGGATTATACTTATACTTTGAACTTTGGATTTATACAAGTATATAGAGGTTTGTTCATTTGTCAGGATAATAACATAGCTTTTTTACAACTGCCTGTTACAATAGAAGAGTTGTTGAAATGTCCGTGTGTTTGGTGCAGGCCCTGAGCTCAGAGTTGGCCTCTTCTCGCGACGACAACAAGAAGACGGCGAACGACATGCTGCATGCAGAGAACGTGCGTGCAGGACGAGACAAGTACAAGACGCTGCGGCAGATCCGCATGGGCAACACCAAGCAGAGGATCGACGAGTTTGAGGCTTTGTAGAACATGAGGGAGTAGAGAATACCTCGCCACAGTTGGTTTGACCACTTACATGGAAACACACTATTATTTAGACACAGTGTGAAGGAGATTTGCTGAAAGGTAATGTAATAGGGTTGCACAATATTGGAAATCAAATGCAATTGACAAGAGGAATCACATATATAAACTTTATTCAGATTATTATTGGTTATAGTTCTATTTACACTTGGGCGAATTCACAGATGATTCCATCTAAACTTATATATTGTGCATCCCTATATGTTGAAACGCTCCATTGCACTGCACTCTTAGTTCCCAATAAAATGTCAACAAACGCATTTTTCTATATGAACAAAAATGTATTATTTGTACATTATTCCATTGAACGCTACTTGTAAGAAAAGAACCACCAAGTAAGCACCACCTATTTCATGTCTTCAATAGTAATAATAAAAACACTATTTAACTACTGCTGCGTCATGAGTCTTTACTATGATTATGTGAAAAATGCAGGCCTGTTTACCAAAAACACAAGTAATTCCTCCATTGTGGTGTTAGACTACCAATCATCTTCTTATACAGTAAAGATCTATTCACGATGTTGTGCCTTACTAAGATTATGAAGGAAGACTATCTTTCTTTCGCTGTGTGCTTTTAGGACAACTCAAGCATCTTCAAAAGTATGAGATTTGGTTATTCAAATGTGTATGGGATTGTCAGATAGATACCTATGCAGTGTATGTGTTAAATTCACAACATTTACTTACCATGTAAACAGAGTTTTATTGTCAGTATAAACACGTTTTCCAAGAAATTAGAACATTATTTACACTAGAAAATGCTCAAACCCTGTGTGCCACAAGGATGTGACTTGTATCAATATTGACTCAGGAACAAAACGTTATCTTGAGGTTGCTAGACAACTTGTGGAGTCAGTAACTCCGCTTGTTTAAATAAAAGGCCCTGTCGGTCAATATTTTACCGTCAAATGGCCGGGAGGGTTATAGGTTTTATTTTTCTTTGAAAGTGCTACTTGTTGGAGGAAATGCTCCTTTGGCCCTGGTTGGACGCAGAGCCCGTGCGTAAAGCTCCTACTCCAAAAACCGTGGGATTGCCCAGTTTTTTTTCCTCAGCGGAATCTAAATATAATGCGGTGACAAATAGTCCAAATACAGTAGCAGCCCAACTGTGATGTGGGGGTGGTGCTGAAAGAACAGCTCTTTCTGTCTCCACGCGCACTGTTGGACGGGGATCGAGTGAAGACAGGTCGCGGACAACACATAGACAGTATATCTATGTGTTTTTATCATGAAGAGACAGAACGCGCGGACTTTGGCTCTCATCGTCAGTATCCTCACTTACCTGGTGGTGGGAGCGGCGGTGTTTGAGACCCTCGAGTCCAAACGGGAGAAAAGTCACAAGCGGAGACTGGACGCGCGGAAATACGAGCTGATGCGTAAACTGAACTTAACCAAAGAGAACTTCGAAGAGCTGGAGACTGTGGTGCTGCAGCTGAAGCCGCACAAAGCCGGGGTGCAGTGGAAGTTCGCCGGGTCCTTCTACTTCGCCATCACTGTGATCACAACCATAGGTGAGGGACACTTTCCTATGCGCTCATATGGATCACTGCACACTGTACGGCGGCTGCCATCAGGCGTGAATTCAAGAATGGAGATCCAGAGGCTTGCACACACTGTGGGCAAATAGTGGAGAATGTAGCTGATTAAAAAATATATTGGCATTCCTATAATACCGATAGGTCTACTTTTACATTTTTACTTATATCATATCGTATATTAACAGACCATATAGTCTGACCTGAGTAGCATTTCATTTTAATTTCAATTAAATTAAATGTATTTGTATATAGCCCTAAATCACAACTGCAGTCGTTTCAGGGGACTTTAAAAAATTTGTCGATTCACCAACAACAGATCAATGGAATAATCAAATCTGTGGGCCTATCAAATCAAACTATTAATGACACACCACAATAAGCCTTCATAAAATAAAAAAAGTGATGTATTGTTGGCTTAATGTAGCTTGTAATCAAAAAAATACTGAACATATGCGCTAGTTTGTGCTTTTGTTGATGTTATTCTCATTATACTAACATTACTTACTTTATGGAGGAGGATGTGTCAATATTGAAACTTATTAGAGCTAATGGAATCCAATTAGTCATATTTATTTATCCTATAAGTTTCTACAGGATCTTAAAACAGATATTATTACTAATGCAATTGAGTTTAGCTTCAATCATTACAAAGTCCATCCTCCACACTTGAGATTAAGACAATGTTGTTGTTTCTTTTTAATACATACAGTACGCTCTCTTCTGACATCAGGAGAACAGTGGGAGTGGGACTTGAAGCTGTAATATCCGCTCACATGCTCATACCAGTGAGTCTGTTCTGCTGAAGTGACAAGTGATGTGTTAAGACAACTGAAGGATCTGCGTATTGAGTGGTGTTGCTGACATCTGCTTGGATTATTGGTTGATGACAAGTGTCTTTTATCAAGCACAGAAATTCCTGAACATAATTTAGACAAGAAAACTGTATCATGATGTGTTCTCTATACAGTATGGCATTAACTCTATTCATTTCCACTGAGGATTCACCCATTTTAACATTCTATTGTCATGGAATAATTCAGGCTACAGGTAACTAAGCCCAAGCATGTGCAGTGTGTAGAATAAAACATGTAAAAGGGGAACTCCTAACAAAGGGCCTGGCTCAATTACAGTGAGAGACATTTCCTATGGGGTCCACAACCTGCTTGGTTCCATGAAGATGGTATTGCTTTGCTGGGAATTTAGTTAACTACATTTTTAATGATTCATGCATATGAATTTAGACCGTGGAGGGTGGAATTTCTCCATAGATGTTACTTGTGACTTGGACTGGTGATATGGATAAGTTTATTGCCAAACTGCCAACTCTTCCTGATGAAATAAAACATTTAGATGGACAAATCTAAATGATGAGACCTTCAGTCTCATCATGATCAATCACCACTGCTGTGGTTTTATTTACTTGGAATGGAAAACAAAAATGCTTTTTCAGATGAAAAATCTTCCTTTTAAACAGCCAAGATGAAAGATTTAAGGAGCACAATGTAAAAAATCTGGACAAAAGTGGTACTGCAACCTCTCCCATGCTCATTGACTCAGGTTGCCAGATATGCAGACAAATCCAGCTGGTACAATAATATCTGAATAGTTTTATCAACAACAACAATTTCTATTGGGGCCTTAGACATTTCTGTTGTATTCCTTGTTTTGTCATTAAGGATTTGAGAATCATAAAGGGACCTTTTTTAGTTCTGCGACCACATGTTACTTTACCAGTGAGATTAGCTCGATATTGTGAGTTCTGGCAACCCGGATCAAGGACTTCCTGATTGGTAATATGGTGGAGGGCTGGACATCGAAATGGAAACAATAACAATATTTAGGGGCTGTAAAACTCATTTTGAACTACTCGGCTGAACTACTGTTATCAGTTAAAGAAGTATTCGAAAAGAGCATTTTAAGCAATGCTTTTTTACAGATTAGGGCCATTTAATGATGACTTGACTTGACATGAAAATCTTACATATTGCTACTTTAATATTGTGTTAAAGCATTTAACTTGTATTGAAATCAGTCAATATCATTACTGATTACGTGTGCTTGAATATTGATGAAAATGTCCCTTTTCCCTGGGTATTAACTTTTTGCTGTCTCCGTCTCTGTCTCTGTCCAGGCTATGGCCACGCCGCCCCCAGCACAGACTCAGGGAAAGTCTTCTGCATGTTTTACGCTCTGCTGGGGATCCCCCTCACCCTGGTCATGTTTCAGAGCCTGGGCGAACGCATCAACACCTTTGTTCGCTACCTTTTGCACCAAGCCAAGAAATGCCTGGGCATGCGTCGAACCGAGGTCTCCATGGCCAACATGGTCACGGTGGGCTTCTTCTCCTGCCTTAGCACCCTCTGCGTAGGCGCCACCCTGTTTTCTCAGTCAGAAGGGTGGAGTTTTCTTCATGCTTTCTACTACTGCTTTATCACACTAACCACGATTGGATTTGGAGATTATGTAGCTCTTCAAAAGGATGACGCTTTGCAAAATGACCCACGATACGTGGCTTTCTGCTTTGTCTACATCCTCATGGGGCTGACAGTGATAGGGGCCTTCCTGAATTTGGTTGTGTTGAGGTTTTTGACAATGAATATGGAAGATGAGAGACGGGATGCCAAGCAGAAAGCGCTCATGACAATCAACAAACCAAGAGCCGAGGTGGCAAGACTGCTTCCGTTATCAACAGCCATCACTCCTGCAACAGAGACTAAATCAAAAGAATTGAAAGGAGTTTATACTGAAGTTCTACATTTCCAAACTATATGCTCCTGTCTTTGGTATAGAAGCAAAGAGAAGTTGCAAAGTTCATCCTCAATGATCCCAGAACTGGCTATCTCTGACCCTTATCTCCAAACAGACAGTCACTACATAGAACCAGGGACTACAGGCTGCATGTGTTCACCAAGACAATGCACCAATATTAGCTCAATAACAACAGGTCTCCTCTCTCCTTTTAGAGCTTTTAAGCGACGCAGCTCTGTGTAGCCTCCGTCCAACGCAGCAGATTGGACAACACAATGCGACACTATATATGGCCATCTTGCCAAAACTATGACAGAAATTTGGCAACAGACGCAAAGTGTGGGAGCTTTCCTGGTGCTATAAACCCAAAACTCAACAGGCGGTGCAGAGAGGGAGAATTCTGTGAGCAGATAAAGTCCTTCGCAAATACTGTGTGTTTGAGAAGGACTATGCACATAATAAACTTTCAGGTTGGGTCTCAAAAGAGTTGACAAGTATCGTGTTAGGAAGACCAAGAAAGACTAATGTCATACTGCAGTCTCACAATGTATGCCATATCTATGTATAACTCAGTGTTTGCATTTGTTTTACTTGCAGTAATTGAATGTGTTGCAAAAAAAGCATCTGAACCTCAAATGAAAGAATCAACTTAAATGAAGGCATTGTATTATGGCATTAACGAAATCTTCATCTTCCTTGTATCCTATGATACAGGTTTTTTATTCTCCAACAAGCAAGTGGCCTCACTAAAGTTACATAGTGCACGTTTAACTTTACCTACCAAAGGTTTTTGGACTTCAATGAAAGGTTTCATTATGGTTATTCAGTCTTTTCATTTTTGTATTAAATGAAACAAAACTATCAGGCTGTTCTCTGCCATCTGAAAGAAGTGAGTCCCCAAATGGAGCATGAATGTCACTATATATTTTTTTGCTTGTTCCAAATATTTATACTATAGCTTGGGCATCGAAAATCACTCACCACACATGCAAACACACACAAACCCAGTTTCCACCAGCACCACTTGGCCCTACACTACTTGACTCAGCTCAACTCTACCTCGACTGGCAGCGTTTCCACTGGCTCTGTTAAACCGCTACCAGGCACTTTTTAGTACCTGCTTGGCCCTGGGCCTAACCATATATGTGTTTAGAAAGTACATAAGAAAACAGTTCTAACTGAATTGGACTGATGAGCCAACTTGCAAATACTTCACTGACTATATCAGTGAAATGTGCACTTTGTAACTTTTCTCCTGAAGGATCCGACTTGTTTCCACACAGATGTTTTTGCATTTCTTTTGTCCAATTCTAAAACACACACACAAACACACACAGTCATACTGCGCTGTCATACTGCACACACACACACACACAGAGTGATCAATGTATATTCTTGACCTGCTCTTCATGTTTCTAACAATACTGCACCAGAAAAAAACATAATACATAAGAAATATTGTGGTAAATATATCTCAGTGATGTGTCCCCTTTCATAACCTAGGCCCCCAAATCAAGTAGCATTTACAAATCCTTGTATACATAAAACATTACCTTATTTGTTTTGGAAATAGGGACTTTTTACTTCCATTTATGAGCACAAGGCTTAAGGTGTTGCATAAGACCTCTCTCCTTAAAAATAAAGCAATAATGATCGATGAAAAAGTATGTTATTTTCCAGTTTGATGCGGCTCTACTTGTTTGAATGTGAGTCCATGCAGCATCTGCACAGAGCTATAGATGCAAACTATTTTAAGCCATCGTGCGGAGTGGCAGATGGGAGGAGCTTTACAACTCCGGACAAAAGATAATGAGGCACGTGTCAATCATCTGCAATTACTGTAAAAGACTGTCATAGGAAAAGTACAGCCACACTATTTCACACTTCTCACAACATGTGGTGACGTTTCACCCATACTAGATTAAACACATTTTCTTTTCTTTTTTTAAATAAAGAACTAGATATTTTCTCATGTATGTTGCTTAATGTGTTACTTATTTTCAGGTTTTCTAAAGCCTTCTCTATGTCATACTGTGTATGCAGGAGCTGCATCAGAACGACATTTACTTTTTCAGACAGAAGTAAAGTTGTACTTGAACAGAACACACTTGAAGCTGTTTGTCTGTTAACACTTGAAACAACCTGTATAATATTGTCCCAATCATGTCACTCTAGGCCAGTTACAGAAAGGAAAAATATATGTATAATAAAATGTCTGTTATTTTGTCTTTACGGAGTGGTCTTTTGTATTTATTAACAAACTATATTTTCATGAAGCAAACCTTACATATTAAATTATTAATAATTTCAATGAAAGGAAAGTGAAATATAGAGCTGAGGTTCTGAAGTGCCAACCTGTTGTGTCCATAAGTGAGACTTTACACAATCTATGGGTGAGACACTTCGCCCACATCTCAGATGAGTCTAGTCTCGTGTGCCTGGATGGCCGTCGGTGGCCTTAAAAATTCTTTTACGCAAAAAGAAGACATCCGAAGTATACCGTTGTGGAAAAGTATTTTTTTAAATATGGGCAGTCCTGCACATTTTGATACATTATGTGTCTGCGTCAAGGCAGTTTACTTTTAATATTTTTTAAATATTATTGTTTTAACAAAAAAGGAACATCCTTGGATAAAAATTTTATTTCAAAGCACATATTTTCAACAACAATAACAACAGGTCAATTCATGTTCTTCTTTCAAAAGGGACATCGAAACTGCTGAGTTACATCTGTATAAGATAAGAAAACTTTATTGAGCTCACAATGGAGAAATTTACAGTTGCTGTCATTAGTCTTTGTAATTTGTAGGGAGGTGCAAAAATATAGATAGAAGACAGATCTGGTTGCTGCTTGACCAAAAAACATTTATGGCACAGGCCTTTCTAGCTGTCGTATTGTTGTTTACAGTGAGAAGTCCTGTTAAATGTATAGAAAGGCCCCTCTGGTCCAGATGGCATGGCCCTGGGAGCCCTGACAGAGATCCAGCACCGGACAACCTACAGCTGATGAGTCACGTTATGGAGGAGGACCATTACACCATCACCACTCAAAACACACAATCAAAGTATTTTTAACTTTGCATCAAATATACAACCGGAGTAATAGAATATGTTTGACAATTTTTGTAACCCTTCAACAGAAGCGTTAAATGCATTTTAAAGTTGGGATATGTGATTTTCTCAACAATTCAGTTCTGTTTGAGCAAAAAACGTATGCATAATCATTTGACTTGAATCAATTGAATGCAACACATACAGCATTTATCGCTCAGAAACTCTCCCCTCCTTTTTGAGAGAAGACTGTATCTGTAATTTATATTTCTACTTTTGTTGTTTCAGCACCGGGCGCGCCACATATAAATTATGCAAGTATATAAATAAAAACTCAAACAAACAATGCTACATCAGTGGATGTGATGTGGCGCACTGGCCTTAAACAGCTCTCATCAACTCAGGGAGATCTTTTACAAGAACAATGTTTTCAGATATGAAGACAATGAGCGGTCCGATTCTTATCAAAAAGTTCAGCTTTTATAATACGATTAATCTGAGGAAATATTAATTAATACACAAACATTTCAGCTTTGAATCACAAAACCTGTTTATTCTTGATCCTACCGGTCACAATAAACACATAACAATACATAAACAACCTGAGGAAGGTTAAAGGAACCAAGATAGTACACATTGCTTCACTCAGCATTCCTTACAAAATACAAAGCAACAACAATTATAAGCTGAGCTTCAATGCACTTTATTTTACTGCCTTGCTTTGCCTTCCTTGCACAGCAACATAATTAAGTAGTGGAGATCATGCATTGCCCTTATGTCAAGTGTGAAGTCTCAGCGCTATATTTAGTAGAAGTTCTTAAGGCCCAGATTGTCCCTCCTCAGTCATCTGGCTCCTTTCACCAAGGCACTTTCAAAATACAGGGTTGTTCTTCACTGTTTTTATCTCCCTTTGTTAACCTCTGATGACTCTACAGATGGCAGAAGTGTTTTGGATACATTTGCACAGTTTTGCAAGTAGTAGCTCTAAAAGGCTGGCTCACTGCCTGACAAGTGTCCCTTGAGGCCATCACAGACATCACATCACAAAGGAACAGAAGGAAGGGTCTATTGGACATGTCCCAGTGCTGCCCCCCTGTGGGCAGAGCATCTGCTGCACTCTCCTTTGGCCAGAGACCCAGGTGACTGAAATATCAGCAGAGAAGTTCAAGGAACGTCATCTGGTCTGAGGCAGGCAGGTGATGGGTGGCAAAAAGAGGAATCATTGGAAGCACATATGGTTGAAAACAATAGGCCTCGATGCACCGAGCACTTGTTGTGAACTGTGAAAAGCGCTATATAGATGAAAAACCAGCACTGCTATAGCCACTTTTATTGTACATAATATATCCTGTAAAGACTATATTTTCTAACCTTTGACATGTTATCTTAGTGATTCTATCAATGCCAAATGTGATAGATTTTTCCATTGTGAGATCAAGAAAGTTTATCCTATCTTATTTTAGATTATTATTCCGTACTAACTTCTATTCTAGTATAATGAGCCTAACCTAAGCACTTTCCTCTGGTAACCGCCAGTGGCCCTCTCTGCCCAGCTGCGCCTCTGCTTCCCAAATAAACGATCATACTAGTTTGGAACTGGCATGAAATAATAATAGCCGATAGCCATATAAAGACATCACATTGCCTTTCGATCAAGTCAGATAAAATACGTCTCACAAAGCAGACCCAAATGTAAGCCTGAAGACAAAGTACAAACGGTGTAATATACTACGACAGCTGAATGATTAATCTGGCTTCACTTTGCATGAGAACAAGTCAAAACATTGATGGATTTCTGATGCGTGACGATCTATTATAACAATTAACAATTTATCGGGAGCCTCTCTAGTAAAGTTTCCAGTCCATGTCAGTGGGTTCATTTGTTCCCAAGCGTTATTCAGACACTCCTCCCGCACAGGTCACGTTGGGTCTAAACTAGTGTTATCATATGCTGCTGTGAGCTTATGGAACCAGCCGAGGGAGCTGTGGGTGAACTCTGTTCCAACATGGATCCCAGCGCTGCAGCTGTGAACGCACTGTCTCAACATCGGAAAGTGGTTCTGTTGCTCGGTGGCGCAGGAGCAGCGCTGCTCTTTATAGCAGCAGGTTATAAATACCTGCGAAAGCCAGAAAAACTCGTGCGTGTGGGCGTCGTGTCGCAGCTTCTCGTTCATCCGCTCAAATCTGGAAAAGCGCTCTCCGTGGCTCTGGCAGAGTGCCTCAGAACCGGCCTCAAGTTTGGAGAGCTGCAGGATCGGTGAGTGTCACAAGTGAAGTCCACCACTGTAGGGGGTTATGGGCTAATGCTCCTCCAGGGGCGCCTGCACCCTCATGAAGTCATGGCGCGACCAGCCCCCCACACACGTTAAGGGGGCCCAGGCAGAAGGGTCCCCCCCACAATTAACGGAAAAAGAGAATTAGACAAAACCATGGAAAATACAATTTTTTTGTTTTGTGTTTTTTTTCTTTATTTAGAGAGTTCCAAACATTTACAGCATGTCCCAAAATATTTCACGATCATATTTTTACAGAAAGGAAAATGACACTTACACACAGTGTAAAGTAATCTGTGTAGCTTGTGTAACGGTGCAAGTTCACTGTCCTCTCAAAATAACTATTGATTTTCAAACTGTCAATAGACGTGATTTCTCCCCTAGATTGCTATGCCAATGCTGTGCCCAAACTGCCAATACTTTTGTTTTCACAAAGATTTTCTGCTTTAACTCTTTTGGGCGTGGAGTTCACCAGAGCTTCGCAGGTGCCACTGGAATCCTCCTTCATAACGACATCACGGTGGATGCTTGAGACCTTGTTCTCCATCTGTTGTAGCATGTGTCACCTATCTGTTCTAACAGAAGGAGTTTAGATCTGGAGTCATGCTTGGCTCTACTTTACCAGTTTAGGAAAGTTACTCTTGTCTTTATCTACTTTACCTTTACTTAACTCGGCTTTATCAAAGCAGTGGTCATGTCAGAGGTGTAGGGTCGTTATCATGTTTGAATACTGCCCTGTGGACTAGTGTCTAGTAACACACTGCTTCATTATGTCTTAATTGTGTTGGAATTTTATAGTAACATTAACAAAAAAATAACAAAAAGTAGCCAAGTATGCTTGTTTACTGATCATAACTGTATTCCTCTCAATAGTCTATAGCTTTTCCCACTTGTGGGAGTGGGACTCCAAGTGCACCTTTCTGTTGACTGTAAGACTAAACATTTAATGAATACACTATGAGTTTCACAATACCAATATTTAGTTATACAATTATTTACATATATTGATGCCAAAATAAAAGATCATTGTAATAATGAGTAATTTATGATAGTTTATTGTTTATTGTGAAATAAAAGGTCAGACTGGTTTAGCATTTTAGCTTCTCACAGTCGAAAATATGAAGATGGAAGTTATTTCCATTGTGACCTGAATAATGATGATCAACAAATAAACTTGACATACCTGCCCGCCTCTTGTCTGTGTAGGCACTGGTTGGTGGTGACGGAGGATGGCCACATGGTGACGGGGCGTCAGGAGCCTCGTTTGGTCCTGATGAGTCTGACCTGTGAAGGGGGGCAAGTGTGTCTGAACGGGCCCAACATGGAGGAGCTCAAGATCCCCATCAACAACCCCACCCACAGGGTCACGGACTGCAGGTTGCTTCTTCCTCTAGAATTCATCTTAAATTATTAGATTTATACTTTTGTGAACATGTCTGGTGCTCAGGAAGATTATCCAGACTGGCGCCACCTAGTGCTTCCGCTCAGTTTCATTTCACTCTTCCGACCACTTGATTTCAGTACATTTTGTTTAGGTTTATTTAAGTCTTTTCTTTCGAGTTGTGAACAGCACAATCGAACACAAGTTTTAGATAATATTGCACAGCTTCTCTTAGGTTGGTGTGTCACAGAGAGGTATTAAAATGTAAATTATACCAGCATGTAGTATTTTGTTCACCTCTTATAAAGAGAATAATAAATGCTAATTGAAGTGGGACCATTTAAACATTGAAATATTTGTTTTTTAAATACAACATTTTCTTACTCCTGTAATGTTGCAGAAGACAAGCTAATCACTATACTATACTATAAATAAATGTTTATCTATTTCATGTTCTTGCCAATAGATGTATGTGAAAATCATAAATTCAAACTCTAATTAGTGTATATATTTCTCTTGCAGAGTGTTTGGATCAGACGTTCAAGGTCGAGATTGTGGAGACGCAGCTTCGTCTTGGCTCACTCGTTATCTCCAGGCACAAAAGACCTATCGTTTGGTGCACTTTGAACCTCACATGAAAGCCAGAAAACCGCCCGAGGCAACGTTCCCAGAGGATGAGGTAAAGTTGTGTTGAAAGAACAATATGTAAATTTCACAATTGTCTCCATTAAAATCATCAAAGTAAATGTGATGTCATTGTGTGCTCTAAAAATGTGCCAATAAAGTACTGGTAAAACTTTTCATTTAGTGTGATGTACAAATTATGTCCTAAATAATACAATTAAATGAAAAAATTTAATGCTTTTTCATTGTAACTTGACCTTCTTTTCTTCATGAAGATGGATGGTTGATGGTGGACTCCCAAAAATAACAATTGCATACCTTTTTTAAGTTGATCTTGAATCAAAATATATCAAGAAACTACTTACTATGTCAAATATGTCCAAACTAACAATAATGCATCACTCATAGTAGTATAGTTTTGGATGCTGGGGAATGACTGTGGTCTTGTGGTTCTCTGTGTGTCCAGATGGTGGCGTACCCAGACTGTGGCCCTGTGATGCTGCTCTCCGAAGCCTCCGTGAAGGACCTCAGCAGCAAACTGGAGAAGGACGTGACTGTGGAGCGTTTCCGGCCAAATATCGTCATCGGTGACTGTGAGCCATACGATGAGGTCAGTTTTTTTAGATCTATTTTTAATATAAAAAAGGAAATAATGAAGCTACGTATGTGTTTTCCTCTTTCTAATGCACATTGGCTTACTACAGTCTCATTAGAAAACACCGGTGTTATATAATGTGATATGGATACAATTTATAAGAAAAAAACATATGCACACATTGATACAGGTCTCCACAGGCAACACTATTTTTTAATCTTGTAACATTATGTCTTATGATACAGTGAGTCTATTTGTATGGGATTTTTATTAAGAAACACCACGGGTACATAGTTAGATTTGGAACAAAACTAATTCCAAATTTTCATATTGAAGGTAAATCATTTTTAACAGTTCTGCTTTAAAAACCCTCGCTTGTATAATTTCATTTTTGTTCTTGTGTTTGTTTGGAATCCCTTCTGTTTAAAATGCTCGTTTGGTTGAGGTCTGACTCATGCTCAGAGCGTGCCATGTTTCACTAATTTTATCTCAAAAACCAAATGTGCTTTTTCAGGACTCTTGGGATGAGATACAGATTGGCAGCGTGCGACTGAAGCGTGTGATGGCGTGTGGAAGGTAACAGCGATTGGGATCCAGTGTCACTGCAGTGTTGCCAATGCACATAACGCCGCTCTCACAGCCATTAGTAGTGTTGGCATTACAGAATAGGTTGTATTAAATGTGGCCATGGTTTTGGACTGACAAAAGCCACAAATTTAAGCACAAATCCAGTGAAAAATTATGCATACCATTTGGTCACACTCTATACAAGCAACTATAATTCTGAAAGTAGTTGGAGGCTCTGTTGATTACAGCAAAGACAGTTTATTTGTATTGCACCATTCACAAAACTAGAAAGGAAGAATTAAATCATACAAGTGTTGAATGTCTTGCATGTGTTTTAACACATGTTAAAATAAATAAATGACTAGGAATATCTAGCTTAAAGAATATACAGGTTTTGGGAAATCAGACTCAGACATACTGGGATCCTGTGCATCCAGCTTGGTTGTTTATTCACAAAAATTGTGGTTGATTCAGGCAGAGCAAAAGTCAAGACATGGTTTTATAGTCATAGTCATTGTTACGTCACACATCGAAAGACATACGTGTAAATCGTAGTCATAGTAGTCATAACATAGATGCATCATCAGAGTCCTTGTATAGTCCTGCACGTAGGCCAAATCGCTATCTAAGTCTCACAAGGTTAAACTCGGAAAAATTAGAACGTTTTAAAGTCATTTTAAAGTCTGTCATTCAACTTACAATATGAAACTAATAAATTTGGCAGACGAATTACATGCTTTGTTTTTGTTGATAATTGGCTCACAACTTGAAATAACCACAAATGAAGCATTAGAATATTTTTTTAAATGGAGGCCATAACCATCAAAAAGATCATCAACAAGAGATTGTCATATGCCACTAAGCATGTAATGAGTCTATAAAGTCTATATTTTATATTGTTTTTTTTTTTTATGTGGAATAACAGAAATAAATTAACTTTTAATCTGTAGTACAAATCCAGGTTAGTAATGCCTTTAAAACTTAAACAGTAACCAGTTTTAGCCTAGATAGAATATTAGTGCCTTTTGAAATGTGTCGGGGATCCCACTGACGCATACTTCATCAGACTTTTATTTCACAGGTGCATTTTCACCACAGTTGATCCAGAAACTGGCATCATCACCCGGAAGGAACCTTTGGACACACTGAAAAGGTTTGTCCGCTTTAAAGAGTGTAATTATAAATGTCTGGACGTCTCTGCTCAGACGCCTCTCACTGTTGAATTTGCTAAATGTGTTTTCCAGTTATCGTCTGTGTGATCCGTCGGAGAAGCACCTTTATCAAACCTCTCCACTTTTCGGGCAGCTGCACACAGTGAAGAAAACAGGAATTCTACAGGTTGGAGATGAAGTTTTCAAGGTTGTTCACTGATTTAAAGAAACATGGGGAAATACTCCATATAAGCTGCAATAAATGACTGCACTTGTTATTCTATCTGCACTAAAAAATCATATTAGAAATGATTGGGCCTGACATAAAAAGGCACTTGATGGTCTTTTTATAGAACTATTTTTATATGATTTTGAAATCTATGTAAAAATAATAATTGTGTGTGTTGTTCAATCACAGACGCTTCGTCCTTGTTCAACCTTGTTTCACATTTCATATGTGTCAGTTTTCACTTTTTCAGTTATGCAATTCACATTAACAACTCCTCACATTCACAATTTCGTCGTGTAAATTCCTAAAATAAAAAGTACTGAAATTGCTTATTTGATAGTTTATTCATTTTATCCACATTTCAAGGCCATTGCACTGGTCCAGACTAGAGCGGAGAGGATTCATGGTCCGAACCAAGCGGATCAGGTGAAAATCCACTGGAGGAATGCTAACTTTTTGAAAAATTCTAATGAAGCATTTAGCATTTTACTTTGGACTAGAGCAGAGAAAATGGTCCGAATCAAACGGTTACTCCACCTTGTGACCTGTCCTGCTCCACCCAGAGGCTACTCCACCTGTGCTGCTGTGACCCGTCCTGCTCCACCCAGAGCCTACTCCACCTATGCTGTTTTGACATAAAGGGCTGTTGCTGATTATTACCATTTTTATGTTTTTAGAATGATCAATTTAATTTTTATTTTTGCTGCTACTGGACACCTGAATTTCTCCTACGGGGATCAATAATGTATCTGTCCTTTTTTTAGTTACATAGACTGTAGTAGAAAATGCTGCTCCAATTTATTGTGTGCGTTATTGCCAAAATAACTAATCGTTATGTAGCATGTTCATGTCTGCGTGGGTTTCCTCCAGATGCTCCGGTTTCCTTTGCCACAAAAAAACGTGTACAACTGTGTGTGCTCAGTTACTAGCCTCAGAACCTAGTCAGATTGAAACTGTGTGTGTTCCTCGCTTGAAGTCTAAAGCACTATATGCGAGGAAATCTGACCTGGGTGTCAGACACAGTAACTTAATAAAAGTTCAGACAGACAGAAATAGTTCTAACAGTAGGGTTGTTAAATGTGGTTTAATGAACGTCAGATCAATCTCGTCTAAATCGCTTCTCATAAACGAACTTATTATAGACAAGGGCTTGGATTTGTTTGCGCTCTCGGAGACTTGGCTCCAACAGGACGACTACGTTAGATTGAATGAGTGCACTCCTCCGGCGCATGTTAACTACCAGAAAGCGAGAACTACTGGTCGCGGCGGTGGTGTTGCGATTATATCACACACCAACTTACTTCTTAGTCCCAAAACCAACAATGCTTTTCACTCATTTGAAAACTTAACACTTTCAATCACCTGTCCTGGGTGGAGAAAACAAAAAGCGGTGCTATTTATAGTTTTATACCGACCTCCTGGTCCTTACAGCGAGTTCCTAACAGAATTCTCGGACTTCATTTCAAACCTAGTTTTGGAATGGGAAAACATAGTTATAACTGGAGACTTCAATATACATGTGGACAACAGCACTGACAGCTTAAACAAAGCTTTCAGCGCCGTACTAGATGGTGTTGGTTTTACTCAGAATGTTGAGGAACCTACTCACATTCATAACCACACCTTGGACCTTGTCCTGACCTACGGCTGTGATGTCTCCAATGTTGACATCCAGCGTCAAAGCTCGTTGCTGTCTGACCATTTCTTGATCACGTTTGATCTCGATTTGGAGGACTTTCCTGTCCCGCAAGATAAAACCATAATGAAAAGAACCTTAAATGATAAATCTATCACAAGGTTCAAAGAACTAATACAGCCTATGTTGAATACTGCTGCAGGTGAACCTGTTCACAGCTGCTGCAGTCCCTCAGTCATTGACCAAACGGTGGACAACACTATGGAGTCTTTAAAATCTGCATTAAATGCAGCAGCTCCTTTAAAACAGAAAACTATTAGGATTAGATCATCGTCGCCCTGGTACAGTGTTCAACTCCACACTTTAAAACAGGACGTCAGAAAATTGGAGAGGCTATATCGCCACTCCCACTCGGAGCCTGTCCACAGGGAGTGGAAAGCAGGTCTCCGAAACTATAAGAATGCCCTTCGCAGGGCTCGAACTCAATGTGAAAGGGTAGAGGAGGAAACAGGAAGTTGGTGGGAGGGGCTAAGGTTTTAAAGAGGGCAGAGTGGTAAATCTCTGTCTTTTCACTTTGGCCTACTACTGAGAGCACTGACCTGGATGTGCAGACTGAATTATAAAGTTTCCAGCCACCAGCAGATCTCTGCATGTATGGACTGATGCACTGGTTACTGACTCTAAACTAAAAGATCCCAGCTACCTGCAGGCCTCAACTGATTGTAGTAGCATTTAATAATGGTGAACATTTGTGCAAAGTGCCCATGCTGCTGCAGTTTTTAGTCAGCCACTGTTTTGTTTTCCCGTAAGTTGGACCTAGTTATTGCTTCAGGGCCGATGTACAGTGGGTTATGTTAATATGTGGTCCAGGGTTTGCTTTCTTTGGGCTGCTTTCAACGGCCATTTTGTTTTGGGTTTGCTGTGATTTTGAGTTGTAAATATATTTGATTTTTGATTTGATTTATATTAATTTGGACCATATTCTTGACGATACCCAAGTTTTAACTTAGTTTCTGAATTTACCTACTAGCTGTCTGCTATTTTAATGTGCGACTCGTTTATGGAGCCTTATTGAATAAATACTGTCAAATGTACTTGATAAAGTCTCTTATGGTTTTATTGTATTAGACACTTGGTCACACTTGGCGTTGCTGAACAGGATAAAGAGACTTTGAGGTAATAGTGGCCCATAGACTAGTTGGTGAAGGGAAAAACAAAACAAAACAGTGGCTGGCATCTACAATCAAGATCCACGGGGACCCATCTTCAGGACACTCGAGTCTACAACACTAAAGACTGTTGGAAGCTATGGAGGACATTCAAACCATTTTGAACCAGGTACAACAGCTTCAGGCCGAGAATGAACGGTTGAGGTCTCAAATGGCCAGTCAAAGTACTACGCAGAATAGTGAAGCCAGTGCTTCAACTTCGGCTTCAACAAATGTCAATGTGTTGCCTGTGTCTGGACAAACCCAGTTTTTGTATGTTCCAAGAGAGCGTAAATGTTCAAAATTTTCGGGAAAAATGTCTGTTGATTTAATAACTGTAGAAAACTGGATAGAGGAGGCCCGCAGGTGCATAACCGCAAGGTACATGTCCCAGTCTGAACAAATTATTTTTTTGTTTGACCATGTAGAGGGGAGTGCTAGAGAGCTATTCTTCGTGACAATTATAGCTGTTCTAAATCTTATGTCACTGCACAGTTACAATTTTTTCAGCGTAACCAGAAAGAAGGTGAAACCCTTAGGGAATTTTCACATGCCCTCAAGTTACTTATGGACATTGTTGTTCAAAAAACACCAGGTGGTGTCCTGAATTCTGACCAAATTTTGCGCGACCAATTTGTGGAACAAGTTCATGATGACATGTTAAGGCGAGAACTCAGGCGGCAGATTGGTCAAGACAGTACCATCTCATTTACTGCCTTGCGTGGTGTGGCCATAAAGTGGGCAGAAGAGGGCCAAAATTTGAGTAAGCAGAGACCACGTGCTTTCTCCTGTAATGTGTACTCTGACTCCAGAGATACTGTACTGGTAGAGACAAACTCAGTGTCCGTCCCACCCTCCTCTGAAATTAAGGACCTAAAAGAGTGTCTATTAAAGCAACAAGCTCAATTAGATGCCATTATGAAGCATATCGGCCTAAGTACTCCCCAGGTCCCACAGAGAAAGGAACAAAGAGAAAAACCCTATCGTTTTGATCCCAATGGTAAACCTATCTGTTTACGCTGCAATAGGGTTGGGCACATAGCGAGGTTCTGCAGGAGTCAGGTGCAATCTGTCAATACAAACAGAAAAGGAGGGCTTCAGGCCACAGTGCAAAGTAATGATGCAGCGGAAATAGATTTTTGGCCGCAGGAAAACTGACGCCCTCTGGTGTGGAGAGCCTAACACCTGGAGGGGGGAGCTCAGGCTCAAGTAGCCAACATGCACGTGTACCTGAACTAATGAGTGAATGTCCTGTGGTGGAGGTAAACATGGGAGGAATAAATGTTCCCTGCTTACTAGATACAGGCTCTATGGTCTCTACTATCACTGAAGAATTATTTGTTGAACATTTTCAGTCGCAGGGCGAGGCCAAGTTGCGTCAGTGCAATTGGTTACAGTTAAAAGCGGCTAATGGGTTGGGCATCCCTTATATCGGTTACTTGGAACTGGATGTCAATGTCCTGAGCAAGAATCTCCCCCGGATTGGAGTGTTAGTTCAGCTTGGGCCTGACCTTTTTAACGCCCCACCATTGAAATCTGCTAGTCCTGGTTGGAAAGAGGCTTTAACGCAGTGTCACTCTATTGAGTGCCTTAATGATGAGGGGTACCTGGGAATAGCCAAAGTCACCAGTCGTACCGTTTGCATCCCAGCTGGCTCCTTGAAGTTCGTATCCATTGTCTGTCCAAGGTCTGCTCTTGCCACTTTTCCCTCAGTGTTGTTGGAGCCCCTGGACAACAGCCGCCTCCCATCAGGAGTACTGGTCTCTAAGGCTCTTTTGACAGTGCAGAGAGGGATTGTGGAAGTACCTGTTGTAAATGTGGGCTCAAATGATGTCTGGCTCAGACCCCACACTGCCCTGGGCTCGTTACATGTCGTTCAGACCCAGTCATTCTCATGTTCAGTGATTGTGGATGAACATAGCGGAGGCCATGTAGCAGTGATCCAATCCTCTTTTGCCACTGATAGTGCTGATTTTAACATCACCAGTGCATCATGGCCTATACTATCGTCAGAGGAAGAGAAACAGGGAAAGGCACTGTTGGCTAAATATGCAACTGTTTTTAGCAAAGGGGAAGGGGACTTGGGCTGTACAAATTTAGTGGAACATGAGGTCCCCTTGATAGATGATGCTCCTATTCGTCAGAGG